GTCTATCCATGGACTACTGGGTGAGCTAGTGCAACAGGGTGGCAGGAGATCATGTGATTCCTGCAGTTATGTAAGAAATAGAGTCAATGTACTTGATGACGAATGATAATGTCACTATGCTGTTTTAATCAGTAATCATTTCTAAACTATCACTATTAATACATGTCTCATAAGGAAATAGTTTAAGTCATTCAATGATTCACTCCAAAGAGATTACCCTTAGTACTGATATTGAAATGAATGTTGAAATGACTAGTGTGTAGTATACAGAGTCATGGTGGGATTATGACTCCCACAACTCGATACTGTAACATTTGCAGCTGACAGTAGTTTAGTAGATATTTGTGAACAGGACCCTGATATTTGTAAAATCCAGGCCCCTCCTGCCATTATGTAACAATGTAAGGATAGTCCGTCCCCAGAACTGGTATGGTCATAAGATATTATGTGCCAAATAATATGGTGCCATTGTACTTCTGAGGCGATATGTTTTTCTTTCTAGGGTTTGAAGTTTGTGTCATTTCCCTACCTCCCTAACGCTACAGTTGAAAGGTTTGACTTTGATTATGCAACAATGCACCGCATCAAACTCAATGACAGGTGAGTATCATTGACCATCAGATCATGTTTGTGATCTCACCGGCTAAATTGATAACTGAGTTTGAGCATTCCAACCCATTTCTAATTGGTTCTCCAAGTTGGTAATATAAGCACCATCAAACCAATTTCATTCTCTCCATATTATATATCATCCAGGAATAGCTTCCACTCAAGATATTGCTAGTGTGAGTTTGAGCCATAAGTCAAATCAAGTGAAATTGCTTCACAGTGCTTTGCAGACCATTGTGACATCATTGGTTACCATGACAGCACAGTCCAGTATCCCTGTTCCCAATGGACCTGGTCAGCCTTGCTTTGTTGTTAATGTTTACAAACTGAAATGGTTATGTGATCTAAGATGATGAACAAAATTTTGCCCACAAATCTTTTGATGTGAAATATATCAATTTAAGTTCATAAAAGTTTGAAATTCGTAGCTTTTTAACATTTATTTAATCACATTGGAAATAGTTGACATCATAAGACATGAGGCTGTGACTGTCTGTGTTAACTTAGTCTGGGGTCAGAACAGCTCCATGCGCTCCCCCCCCTCCTCCTCAGCATGCCAGATATTGCAAAATACATCCCCAACTTGACTTGCCAAGTGTGTATTCCATGGTTGGAGCTTTTATTAAAGGGGTTATCTACTTCCAGGATGACATTTGCAGAGGTGTTGAACCTTAAACGGTTTGTGACCCCAGAGTCTCCCACCAAAGGAGCAGAAGGTGGAGGATGCTGACAAGGTTACCAAACCCAGCTGTCACTAGTAATGGTCCTACAGACAGCAGTGATGAGGGTAGGTAGCCATTCTTGTCTCTGCCTGAGTATCCAGGGTTAAGTGAGGATGCTACAATCTGTTTTGTTTCATTGGTTCTTATAATTTCTGTGACTCTTCTGAAACCATTTTTTTATTGGGTTGTAGCTTGTTACTGATCACTGTTTGGAATTGAGGATGAAAGACAAGGTTTTTATTTTAAAACAGCCCTAGAGTTAAAATGACATCTTAAGGGATCCTTAGACTTTATGACTATATCCTCCTGGCTGTTGTTCCACAAAGCAGGGGGCAGTGGGAGTAACCTAGTGGTTAAAGCGTTAAACTCGTCACACGAAGATCAGGTTTTGATTCCCAACATGGGTACAATGTGTGAAGTCCATTTCTGTTGGTATCTACCGTTATATTTCTGGAATAATGCTAAAACCCGGTAAAACCAAACTCACTCACTCCACAAAGCAATCTTTGCACTAAGAAGATCTTAACTCTTTCATTTTACATTACATCGTGATGATCATAGTATTTAAATGTCATTGTGGCCCAAGGCCTTCTGCTCCTCCATAATTTCCAAAACAAATGGTAACAACTTCTCTGAGTTCATCCTAATTCATTAATGCCAAGCAGTTTCTAATGCTGGAATGGTACAGACCTGCCAAACCAAAGTTAGGTAAGAGGAGTCACCAGTGTATGATCATGTAAGACTGAATCAAACAATATTGTCTAGCAACAACTGTGACAGTAAATTCATACATATGTCTGTGTGGTGTGTGTGTGCAGGTATAGACAAAGGGTATCGAGGTGGAAAGTGGGCTGTCAGGGGCTTCCTGTATGACAGTATATTCATCAATATGTCTATGTGGTGTGTCTGCAGGTATAGGCGAGGGGTATCGAGGTGGGAGAAGCGGGCTGTCAGGGGCTTCCTCCAGCAGCGACACATCTAGCCTCAGCAGTGAAGCTGCTACCAATGACAAAGAATGCCAAAGGAATCAGTGTGTCAGGTGAGTTCCTGTCTGTAGCCGAGGAGTAAAGCTGCTTTCACTAGTTCTACTGGGGTGTAATAGGTGACATGGATCCTTGGGGTTATAATTGGTCAACTGCAACCTATGCTTGTCTTTCTGGATCCTTGGGGTTATAATTGGTCAACTGCAGACTATGCTTGTCTTTCTGGATCCTTGGGCTTATAATTGGTCAACTGCAGACTATGCTTGTCTTTCCGGGATCCTTGGGGTTATAATTGGTCAACTGCAGACTATGCTTGTCTTTTCTGGATCCTTGGGGTTATAATTGGTCAACTGCAACCTATGCATGTCTTTGTGGATCCTTGGGCTTATAATTGGTCAACTGCAGACTATGCTTGTCTTTCTGGATCCTTGGAGTTATAATTGGTCAACTGCAGACTATGCTTGTCTTTTCTGGATCCTTGGGCTTATAATTGGTCAACTGCAGACTATGCTTGTCTTTCTGGATCCTTGGGGTTATAATTGGTCAACTGCAACCTATGCATGTCTTTGTGGATCCTTGGGCTTATAATTGGTCAACTGCAGACTATGCTTGTCTTTCTGGATCCTTGGAGTTATAATTGGTCAACTGCAGACTATGCTTGTCTTTCTGGATCCTTGGGCTTATAATTGGTCAACTGCAGACTATGCTTGTCTTTCTGGATCCTTGGGGTTATAATTGGTCAACTGCAACCTATGCTTGTCTTTCTGGATCCTTGGGGTTATAATTGGTCAACTGCAGACTATGCTTGTCTTTCTGGATCCTTGGGGTTATAATTGGTCAACTGCAACCTATGCTTGTCTTTCTGGATCCTTTGGGTTATAATTGGTCAGCTGCAGACTAAGCTTGTCTTTCTGGATCCTTGGGGTTATAATTGGTCAACTGCAGACTATGCTTGTCTTTCTGGATCCTTGGAGTTATAATTGGTCTACTGCAGACTATGCTTGTCTTTCTGGATCCTTGGGCTTATAATTAGTCAACTGCAGACTATGCTTGTCTTTCTGGATCCTTGGGCTTATAATTGGTCAACTGCAGACTATACTTGTCTTTCTGGATCCTTAGGGGTTATAATTGGTCAACTGCAGACTATGCTTGTCTTTCTGGATCCTTGGAGTTATAATTGGTCAACTGCAGACTATGCTTGTCTTTCTGGATCCTTGGGGTTATAATTAGTCAACTGCAGACTATGCTTGTCTTTCTGGATCCTTGGGGTTATAATTGGTCAACTGCAACCTATGCTTGTCTTTCTGGACCCTTGGGGTTATAATTGGTCAACTGCAGACTAAGCTTTTCTTTCTGGATCCTTGGGCTTATAATTGGTCAACTGCAGACTATACTTGTCTTTCTGGATCCTTGGGGTTGTAATTAGTCAACTGCAACCTATGCTTGTCTTTCTGGATCCTTGGGGTTATAATTGGTCAACTGCAGACTATGCTTGTCTTTCTAGATCTTTGGGCTTATAATTGGTCAGCTGCAGACTAAGCTTGTCTTTCTGGATCCTTGGGGTTATAATTGGTCAACTGCAGACTATGCTTGTCTTTCTGGATCCTTGGGGTTATAATTGGTCAACTGCAGACTATGCTTGTCTTTCTGGATCCTTCGGCTTATAATTGGTCAACTGCAGACTATGCTTGTTTTCTGGATCCTTGGGCTTATAATTGGTCAACTGCAGACTATGCTTGTCTTTCTGGATCCTTGGGCTTATAATTGGTCAGCTGCAGACTATGCATGTCTTTCTGGATCCTTGGGGTTATAATTGGTCAACTGCAGACTAAGCTTGTCTTTTCTGGATCCTTGGGCTTATAATTGGTCTACTGCAGACTATGCTTGTTTTTCTGGATCCTTTGGTTTACAATTGGTCAACTGCAACCTGTGCTTGTCTTTCTGGATCCTTGGGGTTATAATTGGTCAACTGCAGACTATGCTTGTCTTTCTGGATCCTTTGGTTTTTACAATTGGTCAACTTGCAACCTATGCTTGTCTTTCTGGATCCTTAGGGGTTATAATTGGTCAACTGCAGAGACATATGCTTGTCTTTCTGGATCCTTGGGGTTATAATTGGTCAACTGCAGAGTTTGCTTGTCTTTCTGGATCCTTTGACTTATAATTGGTCAACTGCAGACTAAGCTTTTCTTTCTGGATCCTTGGGGTTATAATTGGTCAACTGCAGACTATGCTTGTCTTTCTGGATCCTTGGGCTTATAATTGGTCAACTGCAGACTAAGCTTGTCTTTCTGGACCCATGGGGTTATAATTGGTCAACTGCAGACTATGCTTGTCTTTCGGGATCCTTGGGGTTATAATTGGTCAACTGCAGACTAAGCTTGTCTTTCTGGATCCTTGGGCTTATAATTGGTCAACTGCAGACTATGCTTGTCTTTCTGGATCCATGCCGGGCTATAATTGGTCAACTGCAGACTATGCTTGTCATTCTGGATCCTTGGGGTTAAAATTGGTCCACTGCAACTTATGCATGTAATACTTGACTGGTGTTGTTATATGTCAATCACCGAATTGTGTGATCCTGACTCAATTATTTACAGATAGACGGACAATTTTCAGTTTGTGGCTATTATATATTAAACAACCAACCAAATCCTGTGTTTTTCTTCCAGGGCCCATATGAGTATGAGTTGTTTTCGATAATGATTCACTCCGGGAGTGCCGCGAGGAGGCCACTATTAAGCCTTATATCAAGTAAGTGGGCTAATAACATGCAAATGACCAGAGGCGTGTTCAGAACAGCGCAGTGCTCAGGCGAAAAGCTAGCGAGGGGCTCGATCCTGAACGCTTCTGTGCCTGCTGCCCGTTCGAAGCCGCAACACGCAAAACCATCCTCACAGCTGCCTCGCCAAGCTAACCAAGATGGCGACCTTGTAATGTAATTCGTCACCACTGCGCCTTTCCGTAACCTCCAACAAGAAGACAAAAGCTATTGGCTTGTCCCGGATTAACACGAGTTGGTCACGAATGGTTTAATGTAACCAAGCGCTTTGCGTCCGTTCAGGGCCGATCGAAAGCTCCACGGAGGCAATAATAGCGAGTGGCTCGTGGTTCTGAACATGCCTCTGGTTGCACCTGGTTGTGTGGCACATTGTCTGGGTCATGGTTGTTTTAGTAGCATGGTCTCATGTCAATCATGACATGTAGGTATCTGGTGTCAGATCAGTGGCCTCAGCTGTTTCTGTACAAGACAAATTCGTCTGACATATCTACCATGTCAACTTTGATAGAGTGATGAGACATTAGTTTATGTCCTCTAGCTTCCATACATGCAGCGATACCTTTGTTCATGCAGTGAACTTTCTACATCACTGCGAGCATTATGTTGAATACCGTATAAATGACATCGAATAACAATCCTTTCTCTAAAAATTCTCAAAGATATTGCTGGTGTGAATATATTGTTTTGTTCACAGGTCTTTCAAGGATGGTCAGTGGTATAGTTTCAATGATCAGCAAGTCACAAGGGTGAGTTACTACTAGCCTCCGTTTCTCATCAGAGTTGTGGAGCAGAATAAGCACAACGATCCATTGTGCAAGGCGCTAGAACCAGATCATGTTGTGTGATTTGGCTTATTTTGTGTCCCATAAACTTAATGCTTTCTGGTGCCACAATATGTTTTGGGAAGCCTATTTACATGGAATATTGCTGACTTAACACAAAACACCTCACTTCACAGATCCCACTTGCTCTTGATATTAGGTCAAAGTTGAAATAATATTTATGGAAGTTAAGTATCCAATCAAAGCTTCATAGAAGGCTTGTCATGTTTCATGAAGCTTGGTTGTTGAAAAACATGAATGATTCATGAAAATTTCAGAGATGACAAAGCGTGAATGTATTGCCTGTATTGCTGTTGAGTGCCCAGTGTTTGTGTCAGATGTTTCCTTCATAACAACATGGACCTGTATGTATGTGTATTGACAGAGTGGCTCATCCTGTTACAGATAACATATGATGATATCCGGAAGACCTATGGAGGTTCAAGTCTGGGGAGGGGCTTCTATTCCTCTGCTTATGCAAGGTACTCTCTCAGTTCACACCTCTCAGAATACAGGGATTCTGAGTTGAGATAATCACATGGTGCGTGATGGACTTCTTGTTTCATACTTGCACTCGTTAATGTATATATTCCTTTTGAAAATCATCACTTTCAGTTATCATAGGCAAATGAAAACTGGGTCCAGCTTGCCTGTTGCTAAATTGTCTCTGACCAGCCGATCCAGTGACAGATAAGCAGAGAGAGCCACCATCATATGGCTGGAATGTTGCCATGTTAAAAGCGAACTCACTAGTCAGCGAGTGAGAGAGCTGGCAGTTTAGTTCAGTGTCCTTAACTGTGTTCCAGTTATTTCATGCCAGATTAATGTAGGAGAATGTTTGAAGTGACATGGATCTCAGATGTTTGCCATCTTGGTGATACCCAAATGCTCAAGTATGGATCTGGCAAGCCTTGAAATATAATTGGGATGGGAAGGTTTCCAACCTGCAATTATAGCTTTCTGGTGTGACCAAGGGACGTAACTCTGCACATCAACTCTATTCAGTTATTGTGGATAAAACATTGAGTAGTGTTTGATGTTGTTGATTTGATGCAGTTAATGAAGATGTTACACATTTGTACAGTCTGGCTTACTGGTACAGCTATTGGTATAGGCATTTTACAAATTGAGAAACTGAAACTTGATCAGAGGACATTACTTCATTGTACAATTGGAAATTACAGATCAAAATAGCTCCAGATCAGAGTTTGATGACTGACATATTGTACTACATGTATGTCTTGCTTGGAGTTAAGTTCAGTGTTTGAAATATGCAAACATTCTTCCTGGCATAGCTGGCTAGAGCGTTAAAGAATTAGCAATTTTTCATGTATTATGGCACCGTGAAGGACCTGCCAAACCAAAGTTAGGTAAGAGGAGTCACCAGCGTATGACCATGTAAGACTGAATAAAACAATATTGTCTTGCAACAAACAAGTAACCCATGCTTAGTATTAAGTGGGCGACTAACAGGATTAGGTAGTCAGGCTGCTGACTTGGTTGACACAAGTCATCAGTTCCCAATTAGCGCAGATCGATGCTTATGCTGTTGATCACTGGATTGTGTGGTCAGACTCGATTATTTACAGACCACCGCCAAATAGCTGGAATATTGCTGAGTCTTGGTAAAACTAAACTCACTCACTCACTCACTCATGTATTATGGTTTGTTTTGAGCAGGATGCATGCAATCTTCATTCCTTTACAACACAACTATTTATTGTTCACTGACAGCTGTTAGTTAATATCTGATACTGTAATTAAAATATAACAGTAATCATATATCATGGTTGTCTCACCTGTTAGACTACAATCTGAATGATATTAGCATGATATATGGTTCTCTGTTCGTTGTAGCTCTACAAATGCCTACATGCTCATGTACAGACAGATTGACAAGCTCAGAAATGCGGTATGGATTGCAACTGATTTCTAATAATTACAGTTCAGTTTACATTTTTTATCCATGAATTATCGACATTGGTTTTATATGGAGTGAAATCATGAAGACAGACTTGGTGGTGTGAAGCCCATTTCTGGTGTCCCCTGCCGTGATGTTGCTGGAATATTGCTAAAAGCGGTAAAACTAAACTCAGTCAGTCTTTCATGGTGATGTATATACAGGTGTGAGAATTTGTATCATGTAGATGTCTCATTGAAAGGGTAAAAGAGACCTTGGTATATATAACAGTAATCTACATTTATAACAAACTGACCGATAAAACAAAATATAATTTGTTAGTCCCTGCGATATGCTGTGTATTTTAGTAAAATACCACTACTTGAACTTCATGTTAGCTCATAACCACAGTTTACTGTATTCTGTACCTTATCTTGAAATTGGATAAAATTTCTTTTCTGATTATTCCCAACACTTTGATGATTGATGTTGCCTCGTGTGTCCATTTAACTGTTCTGCTTGCTCTTGACAGAGTGCATGGTGCCAGATGAATTCCCACAACACCTGAAGATGGCGCTGCAGAAACAACAGGAGCAGGAAGAGGCAGAGAGAAAACAGAGGGAGATAGACAAGTCTACCTGCAAGGTGAGGGGTGATAGACAAGTCTACCTGCAAGGTGAGGGGTGATAGACAAGTCTACCTGCAAGGTGAGGGGTGATAGGCAAGTCCACCTGCAAGGTGAGGGGTGATAGGCAAGTCCGCCTGCAAGGTGAGGGGTGATAGGCAAGTCCACCTGCAAGGGTGAAGGGGTGAGAGAGATAAGTCCACCTGCAAGGTGAGGGAGATGGAGCAAGTCTACCTGCAAGGTGAGGGGTGAGAGAGAGATAGACAAGTCCACCTGCAAGGGTGAGGGGAGATGGGCAAGTCCACCTGCAAGGTGAGGGGTGATAGGCAAGTCTACCTGCAAGGTAGGGGAGATGGGCAAGTCTGCCTACAAGGTGAGGGAGGGGGTAGGTTGGTAAGTAGACCTGTAAGGTGAGGGGTGAGAGAGATGGGCAAGTCCACCTGCAAGGTGAGGGATGAGAGAGATAGATTAGTCCACCTGCAAGGGTGAGGATGGGGAGTAGGTTGGCAAGTAGACCTGCAAGATGAGGGGTAAAGAGAGATAAATTAGTCCACCTGCAAGGAGAGGGGAATAGACAAGTCCACCTGCAAGTTGAGGGGTGAGAGAGATAGATTAGTCCACCTGCAAGGTGAGTGGTGAGAGATAGATTAGTCCACCTGCAAGGTGAGGGGTGAGAGAGATAGATTAGTCCACCTGCAAGGTGAGGGAGGAATAGACAAGTCCACCTGCAAGGTGAGGGGTGAGAGAGATAGATTAGTCCACCTGCAAGGTGAGGATGGGGGTAGGTTGGCAAGTAGACCTGCAAGATGAGGGGTGAGAGAGATAGATTAGTCCACCTGCAAGGTGAGGGGTGAGAGAGATAGATTAGTCCACCTGCAAGGTGAGGGGTGAGAGAGATAGATTAATCCACCTGCAAGTTGAGGGGTGTAAAGATAGACTAGTCCACCTGCAAGGTGAGGATGGGGGTAGGTTGGCAAGTAGACCTGCAAGGTGAGGGATGAGAGAGATAGATTAGTCCACCTGCAAGGTGAGAGAGATAGATTAGTCCACCTGCAAGAAGAGGGGAATAGACAAGTCCACCTGCAAGGTGAGGGATGAGAAGAGATAGATTAGTCCACCTGCAAGGTGAGGATGGGGGTAGGTTGGCAAGTAGACCTGCAAGGTGAGGGGTGAGAGAGATAGATTAGTCCACCTGCAAGGTGAGGGGGAATAGACAAGTCCACCTGCAAGGTGAGGGGTGAGAGAGATAGATTAGTCCACCTGCAAGGTGAGGATGGGGGTAGGTTGGCAAGTAGACCTGCAAGGTGAGGGGTGAGAGAGATAGATTAGTCCACCTGCAAGGTGAGGGGTGAGAGAGATAGATTAGTCCACCTGCAAGGTGAGGATGGGGGTAGGTTGGCAGGTAGACCTGCAAGGTGAGAGGTAAGAGAGATAGATTAGTCCACCTGCAAGGTGAGGATGGGGGTAGGTTGGCAGGTAGACCTGCAAGGTGAGGGGTGAGAGAGATGGGCAAGTCCACCTGCAAGGTGAGGGATGAGAGAGATGGATTAGTCCACCTGCAAGGTGAGGAATTGGGGTAGGTTGGCAGGTAGACCTGCAAGTTGAGGGGTGAGAGATGGGGCAAGTCCACCTGCAAGGTGAGGTTGAGAGAGATAGGATTAGTCCACCTGCAAGGTGAGGGGTGAGAGAGATAGATTAGTCCACCTGCAAGGAGAGGGGGAATAGACAAGTCCACCTGCAAAGTTGAGGGGTGAGAGAGAGATTAGTCCACCTGCAAGGTGAGGATGGGGGTAGGTTGGCAAAGTCCACCTGCAAGGTGAGGGCTGAGAGATATAGATTAGTCCAACCTGCAAAGGAGAGGGGAACAGACAAGTCCACCTGCAAGCTGAGGGGTGAGAGAGATAGATTAGTCCCACCTGCAAGGTGAGGGATGGGGGTAGGTTGGTGGGCAGACCTGTAAGGTGAGGGGTGAGAGAGATGGGCAAGTCCACCTGCAAGGTGAGGGATGAGAGAGATAGATTAGTCCACCTGCAAAGGTGAGGATGGGGGTAGGCTGGTAGAAAGCAGACCTGCAAGATGAGTTGTGGGGCTGGCTGGAGTTTAAACAAGTCCACCTGTCTTGTTCCTGATGTACTGTGTGATATGTTCCAGATAAAGCTGTACTGTTTCCACCAAGCAATAAGAAGAAGATGGAGTCCAAGTTTGAAGTTCATAAGGACAAGACACTGAAACAAGCCATGGAAATGGCATTTTACAAGGTATATGTCATGTCACACCACTAAAAATGTTGTGGGATTATCTATTTGTCAACATATAACAGCAAACAGTAAGGCATCTATTCTGGCAATGACTGTATTATTATAGGATTACTGAATAGACAGACAACTCAATAATATGAAACACAATTACTCTACTACTTGCTTGTTTAGATATGTCAGCATTTTATGGCAAACTTGTAAGGTCCATGACAGGATGGTTACTAATTATTCAGATTAGATAGTGAGAATGTAAAACTACTATATCTTTCCTTATCCTGACTCATGCTTTTTGCTTGTTTCCCTCTTGCGGTGAATGATAGTGGAACACTTGAATCCCTTTTAGCATCCCTTCAAAAAGCCGACGTCGAAGTCACTCACCCAAGGTTGCCTCCTTGGCACTTATTTCACCTGATCAGCCCATGCTTGTCACTCTCCCTTCTCTTCGAGTCCACCATCATTCAGCTAGAAGAAGCAGACAAGCAAAAGCAAGAGTCAGGATAAGTATAAAATATCAATTTTAGTCAGAAAATTACATACTTATATTCATCTTTTGGCTTTCCGTTGGCAACCATTTTATCACACAAACATCCTTTGTTGTATGCCTCCACGGTTGGTGCACTGGTTACCCTGTACTGGGTTACCTGTCAGATCACCCTGTCAGACCACCTTCTTTGTTGTTTAGTTCTCTACCTCAACCATCCAAACATTTATCCCAGTCGATTCGACATCGAGGATGTAATAGGCCAATGGGACTGCCTGGTGAAGCTGCATGAGCGATGCATCCGACTCACTGGAGAAGTCATTTGATGGAGAGGAGGACAGCCCCATGGGCTGGTCTGCTGGGAGGGTCAAGTCCTGCTACAACTTGGAAATCCTGCTGGAATAAGCTGTCCTGACCAGAAAGTTCAAGAGCACAAGCCAAGGAGAGATGGAGTATTGTGCTGGTGTGTGTGTTGGCATGTGTGGCTGTGTGTATGCAGGTGTGTGTGTAGTGTGCATTTTTTGACTTTGTGGAGTTATTTATGTTGCTGCTGATGTGTGTGTGGTGTTGATACTGGTGTGTATAGTGGTTTTGTGTAAATTATTTATACTAGGTGTGTATAGTGGTGTGTGTGTGCAGGTATTTATACTGGTGTGTATAGTGGTGTGTGAGTATTTATAACTGTGTGTATAGTGGTATGTGTGTGGTATTTATAACTTGTGTGGTAATAGTTATTGTGGTATTGGTATTTATACTGGTGTGTATAGTGGTGTGTGTGGCATTTATACCTCCTGGTGTGTGTATAGTGGTGTGTGAGGTATTTATACCGGTGTGTATAGTGGTTGTGTGGTATTTATACTGGTGTGTATAGTGGTGTGTGTGGTATTTCTACTTGTGTGTGTATAGTGGTGTGTGGTATTTATGCTAAGGTACTGGTGTGAAAAAGTGTGTGTGTGGTATTAGAGTATTTATACTGAATTGAACATGCTCGTGTGTAATGTCTTATTTATACTTGGAATTATTATAGTAAATGTGGGGTGTAGTGTGCTAACGTGTGTGTAGTGGTGTGTGTATTGGTATTTATACACATTATTGTATAATAGTGTGTGATAGTGGTGTTTATACAAATGTGTGTGGTATTTATATAGTGTGTGTACTATAAAGTGTGTGTAAGTATTATTTATGCCCTAGTGTGTAAAGTGGTATTATTGGTATTTGTACTTATTATTATTATTAGTAGTGAGTATTTACATACTTGTGTGTATGTGATGTGCGTGATGTTTATACTCTGTGTATAAATTGGTGTGTGGTAATCATATACTGGTGTGTATATAGTTATTAGACATATGGTGTGTGGTATTTATACCGGTGCGTTGTATTATAGTGGTTATTAGTAGCATTTATACTGGTGCGTATAGTGGTGTGTGTGGTGTTTATACTTGTGTATTATATGGTGTGTGTATTTATAATTGCGTGGTGTGGTAGTGATATTTATGCTTGTTATGTAATATGAGGTGTGTGGGTATTTATACTGGTGTGTGTGGTGTTTATACTTGTGTGTATAGTGGTGTGTGGTGTTTATACTGGTGTGTGTTGGTATTTTATACTGGTGGTAATATAGTGGTTATTGTGGTATTTATACTGGATGGTGTATAGTGATGTGTGAATATTATACTTGTGTGTAATATATAATGGTGTGGTAGTATGTGGTATTTATAATGGGTGTGTATAGTGGTGTGTGTGGTATTTATACTAGTTATGTGTATAGTGGTGTGTGGTATTTATACTGGTGTGTATAATTAGTTATTGATATATGGTGTTTATACTGGTGTGTGTATTGGTATTTATACTGGGTGTGTATAGTAGTGGTGTGTGTGGTATTTATACTGGTGTGTATAGTGGTGTGTGTAGTATTTGTGTACATTGTGTGTGTGTGAATGTGTGGTATTTATACTGGTGTGTATAGTGATGTGTGTGATATTTATACTTGTGTGTATAGTGGTGTGTGGTATTTATACTGGTGTGTATAGTGTGTGTGTGTGGTATTTATACTGGGTGTGTATAAGAGTAGTGGTGTGTGTGGTATTTATACTTGTGTGTGTGTATAATTGTGTGTGTGGTATTTATACTTGTGTGTGTATAGTGGTGTGTGTGTGGTATTTATATACTTGTGTGTATAGTGGTGTGTGTGGTGTTTACACTGGTGTGAGTATTTATACTGGTGTGTATAGTGGTGTGTGTAGTATTTGTACTTGTGTGTGTGTTAGTATTATTTATACTGGTGTGTGTAGTGATGTGTGTGATATTTTATACTTGTGTGTATAGTGTGGTGTGTGTGAATTATGTTTATACTGGTGTGTATGCCAATGTGTGTGTTGTTTATTCTGCTGTATGTGGTATTTCTACTTGTGTGTGTGTTGTTTCTTCTGCTATGTGTGGTATTTTTACTGATGTGTGTGTGATGTGTATACACTGGGGTGTAAGTGTGGTGTGAGTATGCCGCCCACATGTCTGCTTATGAAGCTTCTGTGTGTATGAACCGATGTTAATGTTTGGATGTTTTCTGTGTTGAAGGTGTGACAGTGAAGGTGTATGAACCGATGTTAATGTTTGGATGTTTTCTGTGTTGAAGGTGTGACAGTGAAGGTGTATGAACCGATGTTAATGTTTGGATGTTTTCTGTGTTGAAGGTGTGACAGTGAAGGTGTATGAACCGATGTCAATGTTTGGATGTGTTTTTGTGTGTTGAAGGTGTGACAGTGAAAGGTGTATGAACAGATGTTAATGTTTGGATGTGTTTTGTGTGTTGAAGGTGTGACAGTGAAGGTGTATGAACAGATGTTAATGTTTGGATGTGTTTTGTGTGTTGAAGGTGTGACAGTGAAGGTGTTTGGATGTGTTTTGTGTGTTGAAGGTGTGACAGTGAAGGTGTATTAACAGATGTTAATGTTTGGATGTGTTTTGTGTGTTGAAGGTGTGACAGTGAAGGTGTATGAACAGATGTTAATGTTTGGATGTGTTTTTTCTGTGTTGAAGGTGTGACAGTGAAGGTGTATGAACAGATGTTAATGTTTGGATGTGTTTTTCTGTGTTTGTGACAGTGTGTATTAACCGATGTTAATGTTTGGATGTGTTTCTGTGTGTTGAAGGTGTGACAGTGAAGGTGTATGAACCGATGTTAATGTTTGGATGTTTTCTGTGTTGAAGGTGTGACAGTGAAGGTGTATGAACCGATGTTAATGTTTGGATGTTTTTTGTGTGTTGAAGGTGTGACAGTGAAGGTGTATGAACCGATGTTAATGTTTGGATGTTTTCTGTGTTGAAGGTGTGACAGTGAAGGTGTATGAACCCGATGTTAATGTTTGGATGTTTTCTGTGTTGAAGGTGTGACAGTGAAGGTGTATGAACCGATGTTAATGTTTGGATGTTTTTTCTGTGTTGAAGGTGTGACAGTGAAGGTGTATGTTGTGGACACCAAGAAGGAGAGATCCACTCTCCCGGTCAGTGTCTTGGCCTACTACCATGTCCAAACGGTCAGCGAAGTTCAAGAACCTCGTCACACACAGGTCAGATACTTTACACTTTCTCTCTATGGCATTCTCTGAAGATGAAATTGGTGCTATTATATCCCAGTTACAATTTGTTTGTTTATAGTGATGGTGAAATATCACAGATGGGGCATTAAGAAAACATGCTTTTACTCACTGAAAATCATATGTATGTGTGTGTTTCATGAATATATTCTGTTTTCTTATGCTTTATTCTTTATTTGCTGTGTCCTATATGTGTCTGTCTGGTTTGACAGACATTGGAACTTGAGTCCACGGAGATGACATGTGTCTTGGAAAGATTCCACAATGACCTTAGACCTCTTACAGTGCCAAACAAAACGCTTAAAAGCTGAAGGCTTTTTCAAAAGTAATAAGGTGAGTGAGTCACAGAAGGAACATCAGTACTTTTGTACCATTTCCAGTTTCAGTAAAACCCTATACAATTACAATGCGACAGAATCCATAAAATGATGGGACAAATCATAGTGAGGTCATCTACAGAAGGATGGAGGAGGGGAGGGATTAAATGGATGCTCCTTACATGTACATTATAATATAATGCAAGATATTCACATAAATAAAAGATGAATGCAAACATACTTGCCTGGTTGGCCAATCAAATGCAACAGAATCATCAGCAATAAACACATGCTTCTGCCACACTTCAGTCTTTCCGTCTGCATTAAGCTGAGATTCCATGATGTGGGAAGCTGTACCTCCCTCACCTCTGTGGTCATGTGGTTGCAATGAACTGCTGTGTTTGTTGTTCAGGTGTACGTCCAATACCCAATGGATGGCGAAGATGTGTACACCCCATTCCTCAAGACCAAATTCTACCAGCTGTTGGACCCGACATCAGAACACAATTAGCATAAAGCGTCACCATCCCCACACCAGGTAAGTGGAACATAAACCTGTCAGTACAAGCAGCAGGTGCACATCCAGAAACAACACTGTGGAGCCAGCAGCTACTGACACAGGTTGTCCATCAGGACAAAATAACAAGCCCCCACAAATTCTGCCTCATTTAAAGGTCATGGAATCTGGTTGGAACAAGATGCAGTGGCTACAATGCCTGATCTGCCTGCATATTGTCCAGTATCAATGACTTGTGGGTTTGGTCCAGATTTGATTGGATACAGATTTGCCTGGAATATTGTTGGCAGCTTTGTGAATTCACCCACTGAAAGTGATCCAAATAAAATAGGTGTCATTACAATTAGGTGTTTCATATCCAATATTCCAAGGCCACAAGGTAGCAGTTTTATGATCTATCAAGTCTACCAACAAACCTTTCTCTGATTGTACTGAAGTGCTTCCATTTAACAATCATATTTCTATTGGAATTGGCTTTCCTTTGTTGTTTACCTTTTCTTAGGTATTAAGCAAGAACGATATTATTTGATCAGATTTTCAATTTATACATTAACCAGTATATACAAGTATTATATTAACCCAAATATTCACAAAAGACTCGTGTTTCCGAGAGACTAATACAAACAGAAAGGCTCAATGATGATGTACTTGACAGAAAAAGAAAACCGTTTCCATAGATTTATCGCCAGTTCTTATCTTTTCAATACTGAGGCTGCTTGGAAATTAAGATCAGTGTCATGCCTTCATAATGCATCCACTATTACCCAGCATCCCAATTCTGTAAATATACTGGTATCTAATGTAAGTATGCTGGACCACCACCAAAACTTTGTTTCATAATTCAAGTCAAACTTTGTCCATCTTTTCTGCTATCTTATTCATCTTAGTCAGTAGCCTTTGTCCATCTTTCCTTTGCTATCTTAGCACATAATTGATCTCACTAATGCATAATACACCCAACTCGATTCCCATATCTGAATGTGAGTTTGACATGTATCTACATTCAGAGCAGTTGGCTCCTGTGACACAACCTCAACATATTTTGTCCAATCAGGACACTGTTATAAATGTATGAAGATAAAGATAATTATGCCAGATGACACTCCTTGTCGTATTTGTGATGTGATACAGTGGGTATTGGTGATATCACTACTTGTTATAGTCAAAGAACAGTGCTTTGATTAGACAGCTGTTTATAGCATGATGTCACGCAAGTAACTCCAAAGTTGAAATGGTGAATGGGTCATTTGCATTTATCCTTAGGATACAGAACTCTTGAAAATCAAGGATGTATGTAACTATGTATCATGTCGCTAACCTCTATTTCTGCACCAACAGAGGATGTGAAAGACTACGTCAAATCTAGCCAGCAGAGTCTCCTGCGTCGACAGCAGCTCACTCTACAGGACGAGCCCTCCTCCATGTGCAATGATGCCACAAGTGACTCCCCTGATATCGATGAGGGGATCAGTGACCCTGTGGATGGAATAGATCATAAAATGCGGGCCATGGCTATCCATGGTTGCCATAGTGACCCTTCTGTGTATCATAGTTGCCAAGACAACAGTGACATCTCTCCTCAGGAGTCTGGGTCTGAGGGTCGCAGTAGCAGTCCCGTAGGACCCAGCACAAGTAGTCAGGAAACGAGTACAAGTGCGGAGTTTAGTCTCACCACGAATTACACCAACAATGGACGGTCAGTCCACGTCAGCGGACGATCTTCATCAGCTAAGTGATAAGGGCTCTGGTGCCGTGGAGCACAGTTTTAGTGACCCGGAGCAGGTGTCCCCACCGTGTCAGGTGTCACCAAATGGCGACTCAGGTGACAAAGATAGTGACTTCAAGCCTGAGGAGAACTGGGACCTGGAGATAGGGGACACAGCAGACAGTGTGTGTTCAAGTATGTCGGGAAGGAGGTGATGGAAGAGGGAGGAGGAGGAGACCGAACCACAGCACGCTACTTCACCGCCATGCCCAGCGCACCCACTGCCAGACACTAACCAAAGAAGTAAGTCTTGTCTTGTTTACAAAGTATAAGTAAGCAAGTTTATCTTGTTAGACTATCAGGCGGGGTTAACAAATTATCCCACACCTACCAGTGTCCATTGTCCGAAGTAATGTAGAGTTTCTGACCTTTTGATGTCTGTGTTGTGTATCGTATTCTCATATGTAGACGTGATTTGGACTGGGAGACTTTCAAATTTAACCTGTACTCTGGAATCACTGAGACTTTTAAGTATTGACTGCCACCATACAGAAATAGATATATACTACTGTAACGACGTTTAGCACCAAGTGATCGTTTCATTAGATTATAGTTAATCTGTTGTGCCAAAAGACAGAAACTATGGTAATATGAAAGAATCAGATGGTCCTTAACTTAATTTGAGTAGGATATGACACATAATTACATCACTACAAGTACAGTGAGAATTTTGGTTTGGAATTGGTCCATTTATAGATATGCTTGTTGTTCAGTGCCGTAGGGGGGTCGAGTTGTCAGACTGTGTGGTTTTGTTGATTGTGTGTCGTTATACTCAGGCGTTATACTGCAGCCTGAGGGGCATTGTTCATTATATCAATCCCTGGATTGTCTGGTTGACTAGTTCCAGGCCACCAAGATAAAGCTGGATTATTGCTGACTGTGTCATGATGCGTCAAACAGTCTGGTTAATGATTATTTTCCCACAATGTGTAACTGTGTCTGCTTCAGGTTTAACCGTGTTTGTTGACAAGAGGATCACTCTTGGTGCATTCAAGAAGGAGCTAGAGCCTTACGTTGGTACGGTGATGGAGAACTTCAAGGTGTACCGTGTTTACTCCAACAATCAGGAGTTCGAGAGTATCCGGCTCACTGACACACTCTCTTTCTTGGAGGATGGAAAGGTACTTACTTCCTGTCTGCCAAACGTAATGGAACTGTAGTACTTACTCTGATAAGATATCTAATTTAGCCAGGCAGAACTCATTGTGAGATGAAAGGTGTTTCAGTCAATATGATATTCAGTTTGTCATGAAGAGTTGATATGCTAAATGTTGCTAAGTGCTAAATCCTAAAGGATCATAATGCATATATCAATAAAATACCAACACCATCGTGTCAAGGTTGAAGGGACATATGTGAATAGTTTTAGTTGTCTGACATTTGACATTCAATGAATGATGAATGAAGAAAACATACAGAGGGACTAAGCTTGTGCTTCAAGACAATCATAAGCTCAACATACCACAGTTCGACACAACAGTGTGTGACTGTATCCTCTTTAGTCTTGTAGAAGTTCCTGTGAGGTTTCCATTTGCTTTGATTGACATATTCCTATCTTTCAGCTGAATATCAAACTTGGCCGTGCCCTCCGTCCCGGGGAACACAGGGTAAAGGTGTATCTCCTTGCAGTGAATGAATCAGAGGTGAGCTTAGTCTCGTACAAGTATAATAAAGTAATTGTGAGTATCTGTTAATTTCACTTCCAGAGTCGACTGATACAGGAGATTGCTCCAACTTTCACCATGTTATTGTTGTAAATTACTGCTCGAAAGAAAATACAAGTTAATGTGAAAAATTGGACTTCTTTTGAATTGTGTAAGTTTTTCTATTATATATCAGTTTCACTATATTGAATGAATGAGTTTAGGTTTACGCCACTTTTAGCAATATTTCAGCAACATCACGGCAGGAGACACCAGAAATGGGCTTCACACATTGCACCCATGTGGGGAATCAAACCTGGGTCTTAGGCTTCACTTTATCGAATGCACGTTGGGAATGGTCTGTGAATTCCTGGATGAGAATCAAAGATGTGACCTCACCGTGATGGTTAAACAGTAGTAACTACTTTGTAAATAAGCATGATACTTGGAAAACAAATGGTAAATGAACCCCTAGCTACTGGGAAGTTAGATATTTGATATACTGCTTGTGTCACTTCCAGCCATGTAAGTTCCTGGTGGAGACAATTCTAGCCAAGGGGATGACAGTGCTGGAGTCGAAGAAGCTAATTCTCCCCCGAGATCAAGGAACAGTGTGACATGGAGATCCCTCTAGACAGGTAGGGAGGCTAGCTTATCTCAACAGAGGCAACAAATTGGCATTTTCAGCTCAGACAACTGTGCTTATTCCATGATGAAACTTTGCAATAATGATCCTTGCTAATAATTCTCCCAAAATTTCAGTCTGATTCTCACCACCATTTTGTCCTTTCCTCAGTCATTTCTGCATATGTCATAATGAAATTTGAGCTGCAGAAACAATAATCTATATGGAATAGTGGCAGCCATATTGAAAATCCTATTTTTTTATTATTATTTTATTATAGGATATTTATATAGCAGCACATATCCAAGCAACTAGTGCTTGCTCAAGGAGCTGGTATTTTTTCCCTCGATCACTGGATCTCAATCTCAACGGCACATCATATTATCAATCTCAACTCCCTGGGGAGTATACAACTCTTGCAGCCACTAGGCGCACCAAGTTATTGTGGCTTTCTCATCCTATTTATGACATTTCTCCGGTATGTAAATCTGGTGTAAGGAAGTTACAGTTGGGGTTCAGCATGCATATTCCTTTTTCTGCAATATTTTACATTTTTACCTTCATTTTACATTTGCATTTCGATCATCATTTTGAACAATGAAATTTTACACTAAAATCAGTTTAGAGGAGGTTGTATGATTTCCCAGGCAAAAGCAACAGTTTCAACATCCCATACCTTGTGGTATGGTAAAACGAGTTCAAGCAGGCCAAAGGTGCTCAGGTTATTATCCCCCACAACAACGGGATATAGAAACGAGTTCCGTCCTTTGTCCGAAGCATATCTCTTAAACTATTTGTAATAGCTTAACCCAAACTTGGTACACATGTCAACCATGATCCCTAGATGTGCCATTCGGGGGTAAGACCCAGATGCGAATGTCATTATTTTTCTTATCCTGACTCATGTTTATTTGCTTGTCTTCTCTTCTTCTGGCGAACCTAGTGGAACACTTGTATCTCCCAATTGAAGTTCCCTTCAATAAAAATCACTCATTAGCACTGACCACGAAGTTACCTCCCTTCCACAAGCTGCTGAACGAGGGCTACCACCTGAACCCATGTGCCTCACTCTCTCCTTCTTCTTCCTAGTGAGCAAGGCGTGAGAGCACCTGTGTCTCCTGCACACTATATCCTTTATTTATATTTAGTTTGTTACCTCTTATATTCATCTATAGAGGTGTAACTAGTATCATTATTCAACATGCATTGATAATTATTAGGTGTTTCTGCTGCTTGATTCACGGTTAGCCGTGTTGCTCAGCAGTTTGCGTTAATAAAAATCTGCACTGTTTGTAAATTACGTTACTCTGCTACCGATCCACATTTAAAATGCCCTAGTTGCATTACTCCATGTTCTATTGTTTCTTGTTGTAAATTATATATTAATTTACCAATTTCTGCCTTTGATAAATATTTATGTTCCGTTTTGAGACGGAAGGCAGATAAATCTCGGAAACAATCTTCAGTCATGGCTAATAGATCGGAGTCAGATATATCCTGAGTTACCTTCGGGGGATAAGCGTGGGACGCAGTCCGCTATATCTAGAAGCGACCTGCTTCCCAGGACGTTCCTTCATCACAGTATAAAACTAGAAGAACTTCCACGTCGTCTCAACGTATGCTCCGAGCCCCCAGGTTTACAGCCTCGTCAAAGGGAAATCCACGAAGACTACTAAAAAACTTTGCTTCTGATATTCAGAATTATGTTTATATGATGATGACATTTCGATTATCATTCCAGATGTATGTCATAAGAAGTGACCAGTACGGCTACCGCGTCCACTTCAGCGCAGATCAACATGCAATCAGAGATGCCTACGCTGACGCCGGAGATTATGACTGAGGGTCCTTGGCCACTATCACAGAGAGGACACCCTCAACGCCAGCGCAGACCATCCCAGACGCACCTGGTCAACCAAATCATGAGGCTGATGGAAGACCGTTACGCGGCTTACAGAGGCCTCAGGAGCCACGGGCCCCAGAGCCCACCCCATACTAAGTCATACAGGGCCCCAGAGCTCCGCCTTTGACTTCAAGCGTGAGGGCCCCTGAGCCTATAGACGCTGCTTCCCGCCAAGGGCAACCCTGCCCGAGTGAGAGCTCTTTGCATAAGGTATCCCAGGCCGCCTCAGAAGGAGCTAGAGTCTGACCCTTTGCAAGAGGCTTCATGGAGAAGGAGTAAGCCGGGCTAGCACGCACCTTTGTCATGTACTAAGCGGGCGCTCGCAAAACAAGCACTCATATGTCGGATCGGACACTGACTCCAGACATTCGCGCCAAGGAAGACGCCAAGGCTAAGTGGTTCTACAACGCCTAGAAGACGCTCAAGCAAGCAGCCCCTCAACGCTCTCGAAGCTTCCAGAGCGCCGGGCGAAGCCATCACCGTTCTCGGCCCACAGTTCCGCCAAGGATGTCTTCTCCAAGGTCTACATACACTAGCCAATCGCCAGTCCGTTCTCCTCAGTCCTCACATAGATCTTTCTTACAGATCGAGGGTCTCCGACATCACACTCATACGGCCAGAGGAAGACGATGGTATCATTTAAGATCGGACTTCTAGACACTTCGCTAAGGAAGTCCCAGGCAGCCTCTGCCAAGGAGCTACAGCCTCACCAATTGAGAGGGACATCGCTGAGAAGGAGCGCTCACGAGCCCACACCCTGTGTAGAACACAGAGGTCGCTCGCTGGGCAAGCTCATATATTAACTCTGACTCGATACTTTCGCGAAGGTCGCTAAGGCTAAGTGGCTCCAAGTCTATTTCACCCAGAAGATCTAGAAGCGTTATTTCGAGATTCGGCTAAGTCCTTCGGCGCTCACGAGGAAGTCTCCTCCAAGGTCTCCATATACTAGCCACTCGCCATATATAGCCACTCGTTAGTCCGCTCAAGACATCACATGAGTTGTTTATCAACTGTAAGCCATATGCCGCCTACAAGCCCACGCCAAGACAATTGCACAGGCTATTTACAACAATAATAACGCCGCTGTATTAATTTATCAACGGATGAAGAGCCTAATTAGGATCTTCGCTTCTACCTACCTACTACGATAATGATTATCTACATGCGTGACCATTACGCAGGATCTGCAGACAATTCAAAACGAAATTGAACAGCAGTCTTGTTACAGCCAGTAAAACTCATAATCGCCAACGATTTCCTCAGAAGTAATATGTACAACAAGTTCAGCTTTAACAGTCTACAAGCTGACAACTTGCAAGGTTATTGAACCTATATAAAGAAGTCGGAATTATCTTCAAGACTGAAGTTACTTTCACCACGACAACCTGGAAAATAACTTTATCCAGCATTAATATTACAGAGCGTAGGTATTTTCATACCGGAGGTTTCGCTACCATCAACCTCAAAAACCGCGGGTCACTCGGGTAACTTCGGAAGTTACGGTGAAGACCGACGATTGTTCTAATATCAACGACGGCACTATATTATACAAGGTTCCTTTCCTGATACACCGGTGACGCCACACAGCAGGTACTCTACAGAATCAAAATGCCTTGTTCTGATTGGACCGAGATGGACAACGCCCTCACGCGAGAGGTCGATCATAGTTCACAGTTCAACACATAGGTTGCAAGTGACAACAATATATCAGTGAACGAGCAAGCCTCCTTACAGTCCAGCTAATCTAAACCTTCATGATTGGGCTGCCTTCTTGAGGTTAGAGACCTCCCCTGTCAAGTAAGACGAGGACACGGCAGTCAGACGATTTTTTACATAAAGTTCAACGATGGCAGTCACCCCTGGTTATGCATCTACATCGTCAAGCACTTCGCAGCGAATTTACCTCGACGACGGGATACAAATGGATCCAAATCCATAGCGTCTCAGACTACAGTTGAATTCATCATCAAGCTACTAACACAACTAGATGGTTAGTAAACCTACTTAAGTTGGACCTAGAACCTTCGCAAGATCTGCTATTCTAGGTTTTTGATTTGTAACGGCGCAGAATCGTATAATTGTACCGGAGGACCATGGATCAAGATCCAACAGTCATTTCCACAAGCCTTACTATCTCCACTACCACTACGACAGTGACAGAGTCTGTTAGTTACGCGACTTCAGCTCAGCTCAAGACATGACAGACAGAGGCAGACTACAATTACATCCGCTATAAGTCATCAGCAATTGTGATCTAGGACGAATCTCTACCGCTCAATCATCGGTTCAGGTCAAACCTCATCTACTATGATGCACCAAGAGATCGAATGTTTGAATAGGCGCCTCGCTAATAGAGCTGGAATCGATAACACTTCTACGTAGATGTGTCACTATATAGTTGTAGGAGCCCATCTTGCCAACAGGACGGCATCAGGGCTATGAGCAATCAAGAGAGCAATTACACATAAATTTGCTAGAGATGCAAGCATTAATAAAGCGCTTTAATACACTGGAGCAACTTACTACAGTATACCCAGTGGATGATTCACACAGTCAATTCGACAGTGGCGTTTTTATGTGAACAACTAAGCTCAACCAGGTCCCCGAACATATCGACTCTGTTTTCAATTGTTCGATTTAATCAACAATCTCAACATACATGTCCAGAGCATATCACATTCCAGGAGCAAAGAATGTGATAGCAGACGCTCTCTCGGCCACACATACCATCGCATACGACAGAATGAATGCTCCAAACAGAGATATTCACTCAAATTATCAAGGAAATAGGAACTACACTAATAGACCTATTTACCATTCGATTCAACAAGCAACTGACAACATTCTCGTATCGCCAGTTCCAGACCCACTAGCATTGGCAAAAGACGCACTAAGCATATACCGGAAGGTCTCAACGCTGCGACGCTTTTCCGCCACCAGCGTTAATCTCACAAGTTTACTCTAAATCAGTCTAAAGCAGAGCCTCCATCTGATTTTGGTCACGGCCTACTGACCAGCGAGGAAGTGGTTTCCAACTCTTATTCAAGAAATCGGACAACCAATACTACACCTTACAGAGTGCTTTCGAATAACAAAAGCATGGAAAGCCAGATATATTCCAACTCCGCGTATGGATTGTTTCCACATGCGTGTCTGAATAACAAGTTATTCAGCCAGGCTGACAAAGCAGTCTAACTTGCCCTCGTAACTCAACTGGCAACTTATACGCGATGACAAATGGCACAGTTTTGTCAATTATGCTGCAAAGGAAGGATTTACAGCTAGATATGCTACTCATCCTCAAGTGGCGGACTACTTATGTTATCTACGTCCAGACTAAGATTTTATAAAGCAGCTTGTCCACCTATCTTGCAGCAATAGCTCTATCATAACTGAGAATGGGCGTCAAGTTAACCTAACCCAGTTACTTCGCCTGCTACGAGCTTTCGATTGGAGGATTAAAAGCGGAAGTTCACGCTCCAACTTGGGATCTGAATATAGTGCTCCAACACCTCACAAGTGAACCTTGAACACTTGAACCCCATGATCACGATGAATCTATCCACGATGGCCAGTAATAGCACTAAAAATATATCTCCACCGAGGCCAAACAGGAGGGAAAAATGCAAAGAGAATTTATTTCCTTTATCAAGCTCATGACGGAAGTCTCAATGCACTACTATATCTCCTTTTGGATCAGAACTGTCATACTCACGTGCCTACAAGACTGTAGGACTCTACCCTCCATGAGCTTCTAATCCTCTTAATATTAGAAGCTAATATCTCCAATTGCTCTACACAAATGCTTTTGGAATAATGGAGGGTTATTTCTGAGATCCCGATATGGTGTTTGCCAACCACTATCTGAGAGATATCACCACCGAGGACATCTCAGGTATCCACCTATTCCGGGTCCCATGGTCCTCGCACAACAGTTGACAGTTCCTCGGAGAAGATAAGTCAATCTTACAGATTTCTACTTATCTTATAACAGTACTAAATAGCTACATGCTATATATATTTTGCTTAAGTTCAATTTATTATCTTAAGCTCAGTACTATGGTTATTATATCATACAATATGTAAGCTAACAACTCTACTGAGTTTGTTATTATATATTTAGCAAGTTAATCATATCTTAAGCTCAGTACTATGGTTACATTATAAATATATTAGCTAACAAACTCTCACGGAGTTTTTTGCTATTATATATGTAGCTTAAGTTTATTCATATCTTAAACCTCATTACTATGGTTATATCATATAAGTATATTAGCTAACAAACTCTAAAGAGTTTTTGCTATCATATACTTAGCTTCAGTTTCATCATATCTTAAGCATTATGGTTACATTTATAACATGTATTAGCTAACAAACTCTCACGGAGTTTTGCTATTATATATGTAGCTTAAGTTTATTCATATCTTAAAGCTCAGTACCATGTTTATATCTTATAAGTATATTAGCTAACAAACTCAAAAGAGTTTTTACTATCATATACTTAGCTTAAGTTTCATCATATTTTAAGCATTATGGTTACATTATAAAATGTAATAGCTAACAAACTCTACGGAGTTGTTTTGGCTATTTAGGTTGCTTAAGTTAATTATATCTTAAGCACAGTTCTATAATCATACTATATATATGCCTACAACTCTTAGGAGTTCTACTATTATATATATGTTCAGCTTAAGTTTCAATCCTTAAGCTCAGTCATATGTTCATTTCATAACATGTATTAGTTAACAAACTCTCAGTAGTTGGTTACTATTATACAGCTTAAAGTATCATTATACCTTAAGCACAATTCTGTTATAACTTACATATATGCATATGTGTAAACTTACTACTTTGGTTCTATAAAAGTATTCATTATAAACTATCAACAGTTTATACTATCACATTAATAGCTTTAGCTTAATTAATGTTCTATATACTTTATTATATTCAGTAAATTGTAATAACCCTTATATGGCAACTGATAAGTTAACAGCAGGAATTCAGTTCAGTGCCTTCATGAAGTTCCCTTAGGGTTATTACAATTATCTCTGTTCAAATCACTAATTAGTAAAATCCAAAGTATATATAATCCCACCTCCTATTCCGTAGGATTCTACAAGCAAATAAACATGAGTCAGGATAAGAAAAAATATGAAATTTTTAGAGTAAAATTAATATTTTTATACTTATCCTGACTCATGAGGTTCCTCCCGTCCTCCCCACTTAACACTTTGGATTTCCCTGGAAATTCAGGTGTTGGAAGCTCATTAATGAGGAGAGAGTGAGGCACATGGGTTCAGGTGAAAGCCCTCGTTCAGCTTTGTGGAAGGGAGGTAACTAAGTGGTCAGTACTAATGAGTGATTTTTATTGAAGGGAACTTCAATTGGGAGAATACAAGTGTTCCACTAGGTTTCGCCAGAAGAAGAAGACAAGCAAATAAACATGAGTCAGGATAAGTATAAAATATTAATTTTGTCTAAAAATTTTTTTGCGGTTTATGGAAACATGACTTAGGCTGTGACTATGAGGATGTCATCTTGTCCGGAGCAGATCTCCTAAACTATACGTGCTAGCTTCATCAAACTTGGTACACATATCAAGCATGATCCGTAGATGTGCCTTTTGGGGGTTAGACCCAGATATGAAATTTATTTTTCGCTTTTTTCATGGAAATGTGACTTATGCTTTGACTATGAGGATGTCATCTTGCCTGGAGCAGATCTCCCAAACTATACATGCTAGCTTCATCAAACTTGGTACATATGTCAAGCATGATCCCTAGATGTGCCTTTTAGACCCACTTAAATGACGAATTACTCTCTGTGCCACCCTTGCCGCCAGTAACACTGAACTTTGAAGGTGAGCTACAGAGCTTTGAGACTGTATTTATAAATAACATCATTGTGTATCGACATTAATTTGCATTTGTTTCCATGTTGTCTCCTAGGTGTCGATTACGGAAGAAAACATGGAAGAATCCTGGCACGGTCTATATCGATTCTCAAATCTATGAAGATGAAATTGCCATTTTCCCCAACTGGGAGGTGTACCTAGAAATCCTGCATGGTGAGTGATCTCGTCATCACAATAACTCATGTTGTTCCATGAATGTTGTTACTGTGCCAGTAGGTGGTAGACTGAGAGTGAGTGCTCAGCCTAAAGAAACAGGCACGGAGAGAAAGTAGCCCAACTTAGACTGGTCACTGTAGGCAAGTAACTTGCAGAGACTGGTCATTTCCTTCTGTAGGCTGGTCACTGTAGGTAAGTAAGCTGCAGAGATCTTGTGTGTTAGGGTACAGACATTTCCTTCTACTTAGACTGGTCACTGTAGGCAAGTAAGCTGCAGAGATCTTGTGTGTTAGGGTACAGACATTTCCTTCTATGTAGACTGGTCACTGTAGGCAAGTAAGCTGCAGGCTTGTGTGTTAGGGTACAGTGTAGACTGGCTGTAGGCAAGTAAGCTGAGATCTTGTGTGTTAGGGTGTGTGTTATGTAGGCAAGTAGCTGCAGAGATCAGACATTTCCTTCTTCTGGTCACTGTAGGCAAGTGCTGCAGAGATCTGGTCATTTCCTTCTATGTAGAGGCAAGTAAGCTGCAGAGATCTTGTGTGTTAGGGTACAGACATTTCCTTCTATGTAGACTGGTCACTGTAGGCAAGTAAGCTGCAGAGATCTTGTGTGTTAGGGTACAGACATTTCCTTCTATGTAGACTGGTCACTGTAGGCAAGTAAGCTGCAGAGATCTTGTGTGTTAGGGTACAGACATTTCCTTCTATGTAGACTGGTCACTGTAGGCAAGTAAGCTGCAGAGATCTTGTGTGTTAGGGTACAGACATTTCCTTCTATGTAGACTGGTCACTGTAGGCAAATAAGCTGCAGAGATCTTGTGTGTTAGGGTACAGACACATTTCACTTCTGCAGAGATCTTGTGTGTTAGGGTACAGACACTATGTAGACTGGTCACTGTAGGCAAATAAGGTACAGACATTTCCTTCTATGTAGACTGGTCAATGTAGGCAAATAAGCTGCAGAGATCTTGTGTGTTAGGGTACAGATGTTTCCTTCTATGTAGACTGGTCAATGTAGGCAAGTAAGCTGCAGAGATCTTGTGTGTTAGGGTACAGACATTTCCTTCTATGTAGACTGGTCACTGTAGGCAGACATTTCCTTCTATGTAAGGCTGCAGCAGAGATCTTGTGTGTTAGGGTACAGACATTTCCTTCTTCTATGTAGACTGGTCAATGTAGAGGCACTGTAGGCAAGCTGCAGAGATCTTGTGTGTTAGGGTACAGATGTTTCCTTCTATGTAGATCTGGTCACTGTAGACTGGTCAAGCAAATAAGCTGCAGAGATCTTGTGTGTTAGGGTACAGACATTTCCTTCTATGTAGACTGGTCACTGTAGGCAAGTAAGCTGCAGAGATCTTGTGTGTTAGGGTACAGATGTTTCCTTCTATGTAGACTGGTCACTGTAGGCAAGTAAGCTGCAGAGATCTTGTGTGTTAGGGTACAGATGTTTCCTTCTACGTAGACCATAAGTGTAGGTAAGTAGAGCAGCAGAGATCTTGTGTGTTAGGGTACAGATGTTTCCTTCTATGTAGACCATAAGTGTAGGTAAGTAGACAGCAGAGATCCTTATTGATAGTTGATGTTTCCTTCTACGTGGATCGTCAGAGTAGTCAAAGTAGTCAAGAGATCTTATGTTGTGTCACTGTTTCATAGCTGGCATCAAAGTAGCAGCAGCAGCATTGTGTATTGTATGGTATGATTCACACTTGTAGTTGTTGCATGAATCATGGCTTCTGATGGTCATGTCAGATGTTCGTGGCAATATGTTGACACTCAGTCACTGGTTGTATCTGTACATGTGTGTGGGTCAGTACATCACCGCCGCCAGCCTGTATCTGTACATGTGTGTGGGTCAGTACATCACAGCCGCCAGCCTGTTTAAGGACTGAAGTTCTGTCCTCTGCTGCAGGTCCTGAGCTGATGACGTCCATGTCGCAGCTTGCCCTCTACATCAGGCGATGGCATCCATCAACGTATGAAATTGATCCATTCCAAGAAATAGTTCTCAACCAGCAGACAGTGGATGAACTCAAACTTAGGGTAACTATTCTGTAGTCATTCATCTAAACCATCACTCACTCACTCACTCACTCACTCACTCACTCACTCACTCACTCACTCACTCACTCACTCACTCACTCACTCACTCACTCACTCACTCACTCACTCACTCACTTTCATTATTAGTAAATTTGGAAAACATGACTTTGTAATGTATTTTCACCATTCACTTATTGAAGATGTAATGGGTGGTATGGTCAGACTAGCTGCCAGGATTGATTGATAGCAAACCGATGTTCTCTAACTCTTGTCGGGGATCTGGATTAGAAAAGGTCCCCGACAACCAAGACTTGTTGTGAATCGGTTAGAAATAGGTGATGGTAGCCTGTTTGGATTGATGCTCATAACATCAGTGACTGGATGTGACTGGTCCAACCAGACTTGGTTATTCGCAGACAGTTGTCATACAGTGCAGAGTTTACAACAAACATGTAAACTCTACTTCAAACTTTCATTGTTATTGGTTTTGTGTTTTACTCAGTCAGGTCTGATTTTGCATTTATTGTTCATCTTCCAGATATCTGAGAAGAGTCTTATCCCAGTGGAAAATGTGGACTTTGCCAAGGTAATGACATTACATGTATCAGCATGTTATGGGAGGTGTCTCTGTCAGGTCCTGCTCTATTTAAAGTCTATCGTGATCTCTCAAACTGGCAATTTAAGCATCATCTGTACCTAAGTATTGATGATATTGGTGACATGTTGATGAAAATATAACACCAAATTGTTAGCCATATCGACTATGATGCTAAGCATTAATAAGTGTAGGCCCTTCTACGTGTAGCATGCACTGTACAGTTCAATACGTAGTTTTAATGAATAGCAGAGCCATGTTTTGGAGTCTGTGGAGACAGCCGATTTGCTGTTCTTGTTCTTGTGTATGTTGATTAAATCTGTTGCTAGACGGTGTAAGATAACGATGTTTCCTGTTGTCAGGGCAAGGGCACGTTCCCATGTGAGACGTCGGTACTGGAGATCCAACAAGATCTCGACTGGAACACTCAGGTCTCTACCCTCAATGTGTGGCCGCTCTATATCTGTGATGATGGACATGTGATATTTTACAGGTGAGATAAGATATGTAGTTTAAGATGTACTAATTACAAATGAACTAAGTACAGGTGAGGAATGTGATATTTTACAGGTAAGATGGGATATGTGGAGCCATGTGATGTAATTACAGGTGAACTAAGTTCAGATGAGGCATGTGATATTTTACAGGTAAGATGGGATATGTAGAGCCATGTGATGTAATTACAGGTGAGGCATGTGGTATTTTACAGGTAAGATGGGATATGTAGAGCCATGTGATGTAATTACAGGTGAGGCATGTGGTATTTTACAGGTAAGATGGGATATGTGGAGCCATATGATGTAATTACAGGTGAGCTAAGTACAGGTGAGGCATGTGATATTTTACAGGTAAGATGGGATATGTAGAGCCATGTGATGTAATTACAGGTGAACTAAGTACAGGTGAGGCATGTGATATTTTACAGGTAAGATGGGATATGTAGAGCCATGTGATGTAATTACAGGTGAGCTAAGTACAGGTGAGGCATGTGATATTTTACAGGTAAGATGGGATATGTAGAGCCATGTGATGTAATTACAGGTGAGCTAAGTACAGGTGAGGCATGTGATATTTTACAGGTAAGATGGGATATGTAGAGCCATGTGATGTAATTACAGGTGAACTAAGTTCAGGTGAGGAGGCATGTGATATTTTACAGGTAAGATGGGATATGTAGAGCCATGTGATGTAATTACAGGTGAGATGAGTACAGGTGAGGCATGTAATATTTTACAGGTAAGATGGGATATGTAGAGCCATGTGATGTAATTACAGGTGAGATAAGTACAGGTGAGACAGGTGATCTATTTACAGGTGAGATGGGATATAAGAATATAATTTAATGAATCATCACATATTCCAAATGTTACATTTTCAAAATGTCAAACTGTGATACATCAAAGGTTTAGATACAGGTAAAACATGACTGTTTCTGTGATTTCTTGTTAAAAGGACACAAGCCCAAGGTATAATGTGTACTTTGTAAATAGAGGATGAAATTCAAATCCCAGCAGATTCAGTACTGACTTCAATTTGTGATTGTAAAAATGCCAGTCTCATATACTGTCTTCATGTTTCAGGGATAAGGCTGAAGAAATAATGGAGCTCTCTGAAGAAAAGAAGAAGGAAATTCAGCAGAAAGAAAATATCAGGTATTGTTATACCGTCATTCCCTGCCCTAACACACGTCTCCGGGTCCATGGATGACCCCCACACCCATACCCACACCCACACCCATTAACATGGAATATAGACCAAGGCGCGTGGTCCTGTGCTCAAAGCTCAGGTCACAAATCGATGAAATTAAGCAGCGTCGAGCTCGGAGAGTCCTTGGGTGGGTGACCGTGTTTGGCAGCTCGACTCCTGAGAGTTTCTAGGACTTGAGTCCTGCCCCACAACGAAACACATGTGACACATGTGGTCTCACCTTAGGCAAGTGAGTTTGTTCAAAATTGTCTCTGTTCACCCAGCAGGAAAATGGGTACCCGGTGGAAAAAGTCATATGACTATAACCTTCTAGCGCCTAACAGGCAGCTTGGGTTATACGGGGAAATAATGTGCTGTGCCTTGATTGTTAGCGCTATGAGCATACCTAGTGTGGAGTATGGCGCTATATAGATGGACACATTATTATTATTATTCCTTGTGCATAGCATAAGTGCTATTTTGTGTATTGGGTCCAGTCAAAACTATGTCTATCGTCAGAGGTAAAGATGCAAACTTTGTAAATGTAAATAGGAATCTGGCAAGCAATTATCACTAGACATGATCATTCACCAGTTTATTTGCAGTTCCTGTTATGCTAGGCATTGTAATATATGTAGAGAGAAACATTACAGCATGCATTTGTATTATCAACTCAGCTGGAAATCATGTTATGGGAGCCATTGATTCCCCCCATGGTTTACACCAGACCATGGTATTGTGCAGGGCATTATTGCAAGGAATGACTGTATAATTATAGGATAATTATGATAAAATACTTTTTTATGTGAAACATTTTATTGATGTCACTCTTGATAGCATCCGTGTTAGGTTATTGGATAAAGATGTTCATGTCATCACAGATTAGCTACAGCCACACACACAAATCAGTTGTTGAATTAATCTTGGGTTGAATTTTTACAGAATATCTCGCTCCAGTCAGAGGCTGACTTACTCACCTCGTAAAGAGAAAGCTCTGAAGATCTACACAGGAGAAGATAACCCTCCTTCAAGCAGCAAGTCCTCGCCAGATCTGGACTGATTGTGTCCCCTTGATTCTCAGTACTGGTTCCCGTAATCGACCATTTGTGCCCTCCGTGTGTGTGGATGTTATGTCTCCCTGTGGAAAGTCTCTGTTGTCCCCAGTAAACCAACAGTGGTCAGAAGTGCTCTGTCATCTGCAGGAGGACATTTTTAACTGTACAACCAAAAGCATGATGGCATGACATAGTTACAATAATTCATAGAATTCATCCAAAATGTGTGAGTTTTCCACACATTGTTCATTTGGTGATTTTAATAATGGTAAATTGTGTTACTTAACTCCCTGGCTCAACTAAGGATCTGGAGAAGTTTCTGCTGCAGTGCCCTTCTTCATGGAGTGCTGATATATCAATCAAGCTTTAAAGTTAGTAAAGAACCAAATGTTCTTCCTATTTGTTCTTTCAAGCTTGAAATCATTTGTTGGCTTGGCTGTATTTCACTCTCTGTTGCTTACCTGGGGGTCCGAAGCTGACGAGCCAGCATGAGACTGGATGCCACTGGCTGGATGCTACAGGTGTGTGAGGACAGACGTCACTGTATACAAGTCAATACTGAAGCATCGTCAGATGGCTGTGCTACAACAGGCCAATTCTGTGTGATCTAATACACCTACTGTTAAATTGTTGGTAGAAATATTGCAACAAATTGTCCTTATAAAAAGAGAACTAGTAACCCTCGTGGAGGAAGATTTGAACCAAAGTTGATGGCCGACAGCCCTCGGATAAGACAAAGATTATTCAGTCATAGGCATGTGTAGTGGAGATTGTAGGCAATTGTGAGGTGACGCCAGTCACATGTACAGAAGTCTGCAAGCTTTGTTGACAGCTAGTTGTTAGGGAAGCAGTATACCTGCTACAATTGACTTCCTTCCAGATTGGAGGTCAGGTTGTGGAGAAGTCTTCTGTCCATGTTGTCAGGGAAAGCAGTATTTCTACTGATTGTTGTCTAGACAATCACTTTGTGGTGAAGTCTCCTTCCGCGTTGTCAATCAATACATCGTCAGGGAATCGGTATTGAAGCTGCCAGGTACTTGGTGAAGAAGTCCTGTATTTGTTGTCAGGGAAGTAGTATATATGTGTGGTGATGGAAGCCAGGTATGTGTGGAGAAGTCTTCCCCATGTGTTGTCGGTTGTCAGGGAAGCAGTGTCTCTGCAGATGTCCGAACATATGTGTAATAAAAGGGCATTTGAGCTCTGAGAGACATTTGTTAAATCAAACAGAAACTTGCAAACATTTGGATAATGTTGTCATTGTCAGATTCAGACATGAAACACTGCTCTTAACTTTGAGATGAAATTGTTCATTAGATGTGTGGGAGTACCTGCCCCTTGCAGAGACTACAGCACTAGGACTATTATGACTTGTATACTTTAACACTGGCTTATAGTAGCAGTAGTGCTTTGACTACAGTGTGCATGCAAACCCTGGACATGACACTGGACATATTCTGGCTCTGCTTCCACAAAAACAATACAGCAACAGCAACTTGAATAACAGCTACTGCTTGTACTGTATCTATTGCTGCTGCCGCCATGACAGTGATGATGTCCACACACACAGGGTAAAGACCAGGGTTCCGCCCTGAAGGTGGCAGCAGTGAATGTAGCTTGTCGTTTCTACCCTGGTGCAACTATTCACAGATCTCATGTGTGTCCAATATAACCACATCTAGCACATAGCTAGGTCTTTTCTCAACCTAGAAATGTCTCTTTGTTAATAGCTGCTATGTCCATAATCATAAGGAGAAACTGTGATGATGATGATGATGATGATGATGATGATGATGATGATGATGTAGGCTGGAGAGGGACATCCATTTTTTATGACAGTTGTCACGTAATATACGCATGTAAGGAATTAGCAGATCCTGATTTTGCATATGACCATTACAATGGCATTTGGAGGTGTTCTTTAAAAGCCATGTTGCAAAAGTTCATCAAGGAATATTTACAAATCTGTGTGATTTTTAACTAACAGTAGTGTTAACTGAATTCATTAGAACACAAGTATTTTCATCATAACGTGATGAGGCAGAGATCAGTATGCGTTATCAAGATGACAGTGTGTTTGCTCAATTCTCAACTTCTACTTACTAACCACCAGAAACATTAGGACTTCATTCAGAATCCATAGGCCATCCCTCCATATAATGGGGCTGCACACTTGCTCGTTTGTATTTAAAATATTGTGACTTTGAAGATAAAACAAAAAGGATAGGGAATCCCTGTCCAGCCATTGGCTTGATGGAATCAAGGTAGTATGTGATATGTGTCCAATGTGTACAGTTGATGTGTATAACCTGTGTGTACACCAGGACAGGGAGACAGGCTTGAGGGCAAGACACGCGGTCTGTACATGTCTCCGTGGGTCTGTGTGTACAGTTGATGTGTATAACCTGTGTGTACACCAGGACAGGGAGACAGGCTTGAGGGCAAGACACCCGGTCTGTACATGCCTCCGTGGGGTTCTCCCTATGTTCTGGGCACAAACTGGTTCAAGTGTCCACAATGTTTTGGACACTATTTGGTTCAAGGGTTCACAATTCCAGTTGATTAAATCAAATATTTTGTGAGATATATGTATGTGGGATTTGTTGTATGTACATACTGAGATATGGCCTCGGAGTGTGACTGCAGGTAGGGATATTTGATATTGATGCTGTTGTGGTACTTTCTAAAGGAATTGTATTGTATTCGTAAGACTTCTCACAGAGGAAACAAACAAGCAGGATTTTGACCCAGGTAATAAATTGTGTTGATTTTCTGAAGAGACCATGAATGCACAGTATTTTATGTTGTTCAGTTTTATGAAAATCCACCCACTGTCTAAAGCCGATCAACACATATGTAAGTAAAACTGAAGGAATGACTGATATTGTCTAGGCCAGACACAGTTTTGTTCTTGTTGTACACGCATAACTTTTGAAAACAATAAGAAAATATAGTTAACAAAGATGATATATTTGATTGAAATTATACTGTATTTGCATACTTTGTTTCTTTCTGTATACATTGTATTTGCTGTATTAAGCAATCCCAGACCATGTCTATGAGTGCACCGTACAAAGACCCTAATTTCACAGGAGGTCTGTACTTCATAATGTGTATTACAAATAGTTTTGCAGAAAACATTAGGGGTATATCATTTATACGTTTACATTATATCTGTCAAAAAGGCTTTAGTAGCGTTGACCTAAGCTCATTTTCTACCTCCTGACATCAGATTAATATCCAAGTGGTTTCAATTATGATAGAGTATGATGCATCTTTTGTCATTTTGACCAAGGAAATCTTTAAAACAAGATTATGAATTGGTCTGGCCTTAAAGGAAGCTTTGAAATGAAACAGTCCCTTGAAGAATGACTTACCGATCTATACTATATTGGTTTTCCCAAGCTGTGTAACTATTGAGGGAAGTGTTCATGGAGTGTAGCTTGCTTCATATCATACACAGCTGTTTATACCAGGGATGTATGTGATTGTGTATCTTGCATCAGGCAGAAACCTGTCCCAATCACAAACTCACCAACATTAAGTTTTCAAGCACTAATTGATTTCATTGAATGAGTTATCTTTTGTTTTGGACTTTTCTAGATGCCAATAATTTGATGCTGATTTTGGACACCAATATTTAACTTAGACAAGTTGTGCATGGAACACAATATTGCTGTAAGTGTTTCACTGTCAATTGTGTGGGTTTGTGTACTTGTCAAACAGGGCTTTCAGCAAAGGGACATAACTGCTGATGTTTTGATAATCCTAGTCTGAAATAAGCTTGAACCCATTTTTCAGTGCATGTTACATATTTTTGTGAAAAGAGTATTTGGTAGTGTGAAATACCATATTGTTTATAAATTATGTTACCTTGTCAACAAGAGTGCTATAACAAGTCGGTCGTCATGGTTGCAATATGTTCTTGGTTTATGCGTGGATGTTCATGACACTACAAACATTGTTGTAGACGATGTTTCCATAGTGAGCTTTTCAATTAACCATTTCCTCTGTTTAAGGTAGTTTGTAAACACACTACAGAGATATGAAGTTTAATTTGTTGAACACTTAAGTTGTTATTTTGTTGCTAAGATTTATAAGACTGTACATATGCCTGTGTACCAGCCCTGTTACCCTGTGTTGAAAGTGCTAAGATGTACATGTAGATCTGCCATGTCTCGACTGCTTGTAAACAAAACTAATTGGCTGACAACTGTCAGGAGGGTGCCGGTCATGCACCCCCACTCGTGTGTCTCATAGACAAGCAGGTGGAGAACACAGAACAGTGACAGTTTGGGAGAGTATTGGTAAAAGAGATCCTTAACAGACTGACCTCTAAGGCTGTATTTATGAATTCCACTGTATCAATGGTGTCACTGTTGAATGTTGGTGGAGATGCAGGTCCTGTACATGATGCATGAAGGGTTAATTTTGTAAATGTTGCACAAAGGGGCCCAGTTGTGTAGTATGCCTACCGTACCTAGAGTGGGCCATTGATTGTGGGGATGCCCTCCACTGGAGACAGATGGCGGACAGTGGCAAGTGGAGGAGTGGTTGTGGGATGCCCTGTAGCCAGGCTGGACGATTGATACCATTATGTCCCCTTGAATTCCAGGGATGATGATTGATACCAATATGTCTCCTTGAATTCCAGGGATGACGATTGATACCATTATGTCCCCTTGAATTCCAGTGATGACGATTGATACCAATATGTCCCCATGAATTCCAGGGATGACGATTGATACCATGATGTCCCCTTGAATTCCAGGGATGACGATTGATATCGATATGTCCTCTTGAATTCCAGGGATGACGATTGATACCAATATGTCCCCTTGAATTCCAGGGATGACGATTGATACCAATATGTCCCCTTGAATTCCAGGGATGACGATTGATACCAATATGTCCCCTTGAATTCCAGGGATGATGATTGATACCAATATGTCCCCTTGAATTCCAGGGATGACGATTGATACCAATATGTCCCCTTGAATTCCAGGGATGATGATTGATATCAATATGTCCCCTTGAATTCCAGGGATGACAATTGATACCAATATGTCCTCTTGAATTCCAGGGATGATGATTGATACCAATATGTCCCCTTGAATTCCAGGGATGACGATTGATACCAATATGTCCCCTTGAATTCCAGGGATGATGATTGATACCAATATATCCCCTTGAATTCCAGGGATGATGATTGATACCAATATATCCCCTTGAATTCCAGGGATGATGATTGATACCAATATGTCCCCTTGAATTCCAGGGATGGATGAATTCAGGGATGAAGATTGATGAATCAGGGATGAAGATTGATATAGATATGTCCCCTTGAATTCCAGGGATGACGATTGATACCAATATATCCCCTTGAATTCCAGGGATGATGATTGATACCAATATGTCCCCTTGAATTCCAGGGATGAAGATTGATATCGATATGTCCCCTTGAATTCCAGGGATGATGATTGATACCAATATGTCCCCTTGAATTCCAGGGATGACGATTGATATCAATATCCCCTTCCTTAAAGGGTGGTTCATTGACATCAATGTATCCCCTTCCATCGAAGGGCAAATTATTGATCTCAAAGGCGGGTGATTGATATCATTATGTCCCCTTCAATCAAGGGTAGTTGATTGATATCATTATGTCCCCTTCAGTCAAGGGTAGATGATTGATATCGGTGTGTCCCCTTCCATCGAAGGGTAGGTGATCAATATCGTTGCATCCCCTCCCGACCCAGGGATTGATTGGTTGTAAAAACTTTCCTGTAATGTACATAGCCACAGTTGCCCAGCAGTCGCCTTCACCATCAGGGCATAGAAACTGTCTTGTTTCTACAAGCCAATAAAAAATATTTGTGAAAATACTGTTGTCTCTTCTGTCTCATCAATATCTTTCAGCTTCACCACTTCATATTGCACAGACCATACAATCCAGTGATTGATGTGAGCAGTGACCTGTCATGATGGCACACTGTCAACCAAGACATAAACCTCACCAGGACATCTGTTCTGTCACCTCTGTGATACACCAGATCAGTATGCTAGGCCCAGTTCTAACATGAATCGCCACGGAGGATCCAATTATCATTCAGTATTCTGGAAGAGAACCACCATTACATGGTGCTACATATCTGACTATAACATGTACTGGAATCAAGAACAGAAAGAAATCTGAGAGAGTGAGTTTTATTTTGTAAGACATTGGTATTAACTGACATGGGCTGCAGGACAAGACTCCGCGATGTCAGTCTGGATGATCACAGATGATATATAACAGGGACTTCTCCAACCTCAGGGTAATTATGAATGTTATTCCCCTCCTGGTGTAGGGGATTACTAATCTTCATGCAGAAGTGAGTGACTATGTAGAAATGACTGATAGAATTACAAAGATTATGGTGAAAAAGTAAATGGTATTTATAACAATGTGTGCCATGGCAGCCATCTTTGATTAGTGAGATCTGGTGGCAACACCTAAAATGCTGTCAACATTGTTGGTGAAGGAATGAAAATGTTTGGGGTTTTTCTGCTTGTAGCAATACTCCAGTTGTAGGGAGAGAAGGATGGGTTTACACATGCATCCCAAATGGGGAATCAAACCCAGTACTTGCAGCCGCAGCTGGAGGACAACAAGAATGGTTTACACTGTAAATGGAATAAAACCCAGGCCAGGTCTTTTAAATATCATCTCTCAGAATAAAAAGCTTAAATTTGATCAGATTTGAAACATGGTAGTCATAGTGAAAAAATATTTTGCTCATTGTTCAGACATTTCTGCACAAACCATAATGTAACAAAGTACAGGCAGAGAGAAAGTTGATTTATGAAAGTCTGATTTATGTGACGCTTCTGATCCTATCACCCTTGTATGACCTCTCTGATCTATGAGCAGAAAGACTCGCCCACCCGTATCCCCCCTTAAATTTCATTCTAGTCAAATCATATCACCAGAATATATATTCCTCATCTGATAGCAATGAGTTTTAACATGTTTCTTTAATTGTATCTTAACATACTGAAAGATATATCCAACTTCTAAAAATGCCACTCAAAGAAATTTTTCTTCATTGTTAAAATTTAGGGGGGATATGGGCAGAAGTCTTACCCTATTAGCTACAGAGCACTATACCTTGGAAAGAAGACTTTTTCAATATTATGGCACATTCCTAACTGTTGGCTCTCTATAGATATAACAGGTCAACTGTCAACACTTTAACATCCATAACACATTAGGCTTTCAACAAATAACATATTGTGATGGAGACTGGCTACAGACAGTCGACAGGTCAGTCTCCATGATCAGACCAACTTCCCCGGGGAGGAGCGTGTTTCATTGTCCACTCACCACACCAACACAACCTTCCTGTGATGTGTCCCTCATAGTAGCTTACATCCATAAAACTCTCTACCTTCCTGTGACAGACTAAGTCATTCCCAACTCAACATGTTCTGTTTGATATATCACCAACAAGGTAAAGTCCTAACTTGTCCCACTATGAGATGAAAATATATCTTGCTGTGGAATGTGGAGTCAGATGAATCCTCTGGATGCTAATCATTTATTATGGCTCTTTTCATTATTTTTACTGTCTATTTTTTTTATTGAGTATACATCATTTTAATTAGGACTGAGCAAAATATATTTCACTCTGAACATAAATGAATGAGACAAATAATAATTGTAATAGCATAAACTTCAAGCTGGACACTGATGCAGTTATGACATTCTTCAGTGTCAACAGATGTTGATAAAGTAATACGACTAGATTAAAGAGGCGACAAGATCGTAGCATGCTAAAATATCAAAACATGCACTGAGCTTACTTAGTACATTACACTTAATGTGCACTTCACAAAAGACATTCACTTTGACCATGAATTAATGAACAAAAATGATTTAAACAATAATGTGCTCAATCAGAGCCGATTTCTCCAAAATCTTATCTTAATTAACAGACTCACAGAAAGTGGATACATCTCAATAGACCTACAATGGACGGATTGGCAGAGGACAGCTTTCTGATGATGCGGCTGAAGCAACCTTGAAGACGACCCACAAACATGTCCAAGCTCTGACGTGGTCCACTGCCTTACCCTTTCACACACACAGTAAGCACAACAGTTCAAGGTGTGAGTGTGTGAAAATATACAAATGTATTAAAGAACTACAAAAGGCAACATTTTAAAAAGATATGTAATGAAACAATGTCACTCAGCACCTGTTCTGGGTCAGCTCGGTTGGTACTGCATCGCATATGGAACCATAGGAAGCTTGTACACCATCATCCACGTCCCCGCCAGCAGGCCATACGTAGCCACTGCCCAGATGGAATAAGTAGTCCCAACTAAATACATGAAGCCATTCAATGGCATTGTAAAAACAACCATATTCTCCGAGATGATTTCATTCTTCCAGAGAACTCCCCACAACACTATATACACTGGGAATGTGCCGATTAGGAAGATGATTTCCGAGCATCCCCACAAGATGTTGACTACATCACCCTGCCACAAACTGCTTCTGTAGACGGAGGCGAGAACCAGAACTGCTATAGAGGAGAGGATTGTGGGTGTCCTGTGGTTGTGGTCTCTCAGACTGATGAGGAACTGGAAGTCTCGATGTAGACAGAAGAATATAAGCGAGGCGCCACAGCACTGAAACATAAGATTGGAACAGGTGTGAGTGAGTGAGTTTGGTTTTACGCCGCTTTTAGCAATATCATGGCAGGGGACACCAGAAATGGGCTTCACACAATATACCCATGTGTGGAATCGAACCTGTGTCTTCGGCGTGTTGAGCAAACGCTTTAACCACTGGGCTATCTCACCGCCCCCTGTGGAACAAAGGAACAATGGAGCAAACTATAGCTGGGGCACTGCAGAACGAGACAAACTGGAAAAGTAGAATTGGAAGAAACATAACTGAAAACAATATGTATTTCATTTTCTGTATTCTATTCTTGTCACCACCTTGGAGCATCTATTTTCCCACATAAAATGAAGAAAACCCTCAATGGGCCCCACTTACCCACATATGAAGAAAAGCCTTAGAGGGCCCCCACTTATCCACACATCATAAAGAAAGCCCTCAATGAGCCCCACTTACCACATAACATGAAGAAAACCCTCAAGGCCCCCACTTATCCACACATGAAGAAAAGCCTTAGAGGGCCCCACTTACCCACATATCATGAAGAAAACCTTCAGTGGGCCCCTGCAGACACAGCAGAGGGAAAGCGGCGATAGTGACAATGTTGCTCACAAGGGGCAGTCGTGGCTTTTCTTTGGTATCCTTTGTGTGCGATGCCACGGGGATGAAATCAGGACCCTGCAACAGACACCATTGACTTAGTGTGGACAGAACACATTTATACATCATTCTTGAGTTTCCATAGCAATGTGCTCATTTTAAACTTGTAAGGGACCGTTCACAATTTATTATCATGTACAAACCCAATGACCCCCTCCCTTCTCATAATGTTTAAGCATAATTTTTAAACATTATTCCCCCTAAAAATTGCTGATCCCCTAGTACATGTCAACAAAATTGATGACCCGACCAAAATAAAAATAGTGACCACCCCCAATCATTATTCTCTCTCTCTCTACTCTCTCTCTCTCTCTCTCTCTCTCTCTCAAAATGGTGACACACACACACACACACACACACACACACACACCATAAATTATGAGGTGAGGTCAAATTGGGTTTAACGTCATGCTTGAGAATATTTCGCTCATATGACGACGTGCATGTGTGTGTGTGTGTATGTGCGGCTGCTTGTACTAGCCCAGACTTATGCTGCTTTTATAGTGCTAGCTCACTGAGATACCATGCCGCAGTGAAGCATGAATACCCCACTCAGACACATTATACGGACTCCGAGCCGACCAGTCCTTGTTGTACCCATTAATGCCGCGCGCCAGGCAGGGACCACGACCTTCCGCTCTCTGGGCGGACGCTCTAACCACTACACCACGGAGGCGGTCCATATATTATGAACGGTCCCTTAGGTGAAATCACATTTCACCATGGATATAACATTACTTACCTGCTTGGCAGCCAGCAGCTTCATGAGAATACTGAGACACACTGTTGTACCCATCATGCCTTTCAACACAGGAAGTGAAGAGGTTGTGACCTTGGTTTGTAAGACAGCAAGGTCAAGGCCAAACACTATCGCCATTGAGACAGCAGACAGAATACAACTAGAGGAGAAACAGAGAAACATGAGTTATGTATGATAAGCTTACAAAATATAATTGTTTGAAATATATCATACAGAACTATTGTTTGTTGGTTTTGTAAATATGTGAATCAGACAATTCAGTGATAGATGTCGAGTAGTGAGTGAGTCAGTTTGGTTTTATGCCACTTTTGGCAATATTCCAGCAATATCATGTCCGAGGACACCAGAAATTGTAATCACACATTATACCCATGTGAGGAATCAAACACAGGTCAAAGTGATAAGCAAACGCTTTAACCACTAGGCTACCCCACCGCCCCAGATCTATTTGATCCTTCATATGCTGAGTATATATTGACCTGTTGAGGAGTTCTAGAACTGACACTGACCTGCCCATGACAATGTTATCTGTCTGCTGGTGAATAGTATCTGCCTTGCTGTAGAGGATGAGCACTGTGATGATGGCGGCAGACTGGACCAGGTACAGAGGGATGTGGACGGCAGACGGAAAGTCGCCATACAGCTGGCAACACACAACAGCAGTCAGTCACGGCTGACACGAATGTTCTTCCCACACAGACAGCATATAAGCTTTGTCAGAGATAAATCAACCCATAAAGTCATTACACTTAATATTTGTTACAAGTACACTTCAGCTGGAGGGAGGAGAGAAAATATATAGAGAGTGAATACGGTTTTATGCCTGTTTTAATAATATTCCAGCTGGATACACTAGAAACGGGCTTCACATCTTATATCCATGTAGAGAATTGAACATAGAACTTCAGTGTGATGAGTGAACACCTGAACCACTGGGCTACCCTACCGCTCCTCCATACTTTATAGGCCAGTGTGAGTATATATTGACATCCATGTCACCATCAACACAGTCCTGACACTGGGCTACACCTACTGCTCCTCCATATATTGACATACAACACATAATGATTCTCACCATCAACACAGTCCTGACACTGGGCTACCCTACTGCTCCTCCATACTTTATAGGCCAGTGTGAGTATATATTGTGACACAGTCCTGACACTGGGCTACCCTACTGCTCCTCCATACTTTATAGGCCAGTGTGAGTATATATTGACATACTACACATAATGATTCTCACCATGAACACAGTCCTGACACTGGGCTACCCTACTGCTCCTCCATACTTTATAGGCCAGTGTGAGTATATATTGACATACAACACATAATGATTCTCACCATGAACACAGTCCTGACACTGGACACAGTCCTGACACTGGGCTACCCTACGATCCTCCATACGAACACAGTCCTGACACTGGGCTACCCTACTGACTCCATACTTTATATGAGTATATATTGACTACACATAATGATTCTCACCATCAACACAGTCCTGACACTGGGCTACCCTACTGCTCCTCCATACTTTATAGGCCAGTGTGAGTATATATTGGCATACAACACATAATGATTCTCACCATCAACACAGTCCTGACACTGGGCTAACCTACTGCTCCTCCATACTTTATAGGCCAGTGTGAGTATATATTGACATACAACACATAATGATTCTCACCATGAACACAGTCCTGACACTGGGCTGCCTACTGCTCTCACTTTATAGGCCAGTATATATTGACACATGATTCTCACCATGAACACAGTCCTGCATACCCCTGTGACTTTATAGGCCAGTGTGGTATATATTGACATACAACAATTCTCAGGAGTCCTGAGGCCAGTGGAACTGTCACCCCACAGCTGGTTGTGAGGATCACCATTACAACAAGGAGGATCTCCTTGACAGGCAACCTGGATTGACAGGAAGTGAATCAGGAGTTGACAGGAAGTGAATCAGGAGTTGACAGGAAGTATCAGCTAGAGGCAAGAAAATTCTGTCTCTACTTCTAGACATGGTATTTTTCTAAGATTATCAGATTAACAAGTCATATGGAAGAATCAGGTGGTTCTTTATATCTTTGTTTAGCAGTATATATGCAAGACATTTGCATTTCTTGGTATTATTTAAATGTCTTTCTTTTCCAACCTATGTCACTATGACTTATGTTTGTATAGGCCCACTCACATGGACAGCTGGAACTGTGGCTGAAGTGCCAGTATGACACCGCCCACCATGGACATCAGGAGGCCGGTCAGGTGGATCTCAGACACCACCTCGCTGTGCACCTGGGCAAACAGCAGCACCAGCAACCCGCCCACCAGTGCCCACATACCTATAACACATGGCCACATGTACAGATAACACCTGGGAGACACATGGACACATATACAGATAACACTTTGAAGACACATGGACACATGTACATAGAACACCTGGGAAACACATGTACAGATAACACCTGGGAGACACAACACATGTACATATAACACCTGGGAGACACAACACATGTACATATAACACCTGGGAGACACATGGACAGATATAACGGTAACACCTGGGAGACAAGTGTGTAGATAACACCTGGCAGACACATGTACATATAACACCTGGGAGACACATGTACGGATAACACATTGGAGACACATGTGCATATAACACCTGGGAGACACATGACACATGTACATTGAACACGTGGGAGACACATGTATGGATAACACCTGGGAGACACATGTACATATAACACCTGGGAGACACATGGACACATGAACAGATAACACCTGAGTGATGCATGGGCACGTGTACATATAACACCTGGGAAACACACTGACACATGTATGGATAACACCTGGGAGACACATGTACATATAACACCTGGGAGACACATGGACACATGAACAGATAACACCTGAGTGATGTATGGGCACGTGTACAGGTAACACCTGGGTGACACATGTATATGTAACACCTGTGATAATAACTGGATAACACATGTATATATAATGCCTGGGTGAAACATTGACACATATTTATGTAACACCTGTGATAACTGGATGACACATGGACACATGTATGGGTAACACCTAGGTGATACAAGGACACCTGAGCAGATAGCTAATAGGTGACACAAGGACATGTGGAGATCACACCTCTATGACACGAGACACCTGTTGTACTGACTTACCTATGAGGTCTGTGTAGGTAGGAATGTCTTGCCACAGGTTGTAGCACAGGACTGTGAGGACCGGGAACGTGTTCAAGGCAAGCGACACCAACAGGAAGACCAGGTTCCTGGCGGCCTGGAACAACACCACTCAGGTACTGACACACTCGACACCTACAGTCAGTCAATGCATGATCACATAACACAAGCAAAACTCTCAGCAAATGCATCTGGGTGTGGAAGTGGATGTTTATATTAACCCTGATTAATGCCATCTCATAGTGCTAGCCTGCTCAGATACCATGCTGATTTCAACCTGGCTATCACATTCAGACCCCAGTATATTGACTCCGAGCATCGCCTATTAAAGTTTTTAGTTTGTCAAGCTCTATTCACGAAACCACAAAAACAATCTAGCGTTAGTCTGTTTTCAATTCAGTGTGTTCACCTCTACCTCATTTAGCGGAACTGCTTCTCGGGGTTCATACACGAAACTTTGTAAGATGGCGTATGTGAGCAGGAAGAGGCCGGCATGGTTCAACAGGCCCAGTTTGTCCTTCAGAACGAGCTCTGTCAGCAGACATGACACCCCCTTGGTGATGTGGACAGATGACGAGAACAGCACCGAGCCCAGCCAAACCTTGTCTGAATGATGAAGTCTGGAGAAACATGAAACCATGGCAGCATGTAGAGAGAAACCAGCAGGAGGGGTACATGAAGAAAACCCACAGCAACGATGCACTGTCACATGGAAACACATCAGTTGCAGAAAAATGTAAGAAAATAGAGTGAGTGAGTGAGTTGAGTTGAGTTTTACGCTGAACTCAGCAATATTCCAGTTCTTGGCGGCAGTCTGTAAATAATTAAGTCCGGACCAGACAATCCAGTGATCAACAGCATGAGCATCGATCTGCACAATTGGGAACCGATGACATGTGTCAACCAAGCCAGCGAGCCTGACGACCCAATCCTGTTAGTTGCCTCTTACGACAAGCATGGTTTATTGAAGATAAATTCCGGATCTTCATGGGTCGTCAGAAAACAGAAGAAGCGAACCCATCTACACACAAGTTTAGAGACCTATTAGAATCCATTCCATCGAACTTCTGATCACTAAACTAAACTATTCATAAATTCCCATGTGATGCTCTATTTATCATCATGTAATAGACCTTCGGTAAATGAACTCTGTTGGGTGCACTATCTGATATAGTTCATCCACAGAAATCCCATACAGATCCAAATATCACTAATGAATGATGTTTAGGCCCAACTGAAAGAACTTAATTACCATCAGTCAGTTTCACCAACAATTAACCGTGTTTGCTTCAATTAATATACTGGTATTACAGACAGATTTTTTTTATACTTTGGAGAAGAATCATTCAAGAAAATTCAAATGAAAATCAATTTTCTCATGACATCAGAACAGTTACAATTTCTTATCAATTGCAAAACTTTCTGAAGATATCTAACTGCTACTTATTGCATATTGTATGACATTTTTAATATAACCTTTACATAATAGCACAATGTTTACATCTATCCTTAGAGTCTCACCTCTGTAGCATGTAGGTGGCCAACACAGTAGTCATCACGCACAGGGAGACGCTGTACAGGCCAGCATCATGGAGGGCGGTCTCACACACCGTCAGCACTGAAACAGCAACACCACCGTCACAACATACCATCACTGTCACAACATACCATCACTGTCACAACATACCATCACTGTCACAGCATACCATCACTGTCACAACATACCATCACTGTCACAGCATACCATCACTGTCACAACATACCATCACCGTCACAACATACCATCACTGTCACCACATACCATCATACCATCACTGTCACAACATACCATCACTGTCACAACATACCATCACTGTCACCACATCACAACATACCATCACCATCACCATCAACATACCATCACTGTCACCACATACCAGCATACCACCATCACATACATACCGTCATCACCATCACTGTCACAGCATACCACAACCACATACCATCACTCACATACCATCACTGTCACAACATACCATCACCATCACAACATACCATCACTGTCACCACATACCATCACTGTCACCACATACCATCACCATCACTGTCACAACATACCATCACTGTCACAACATACCATCACCATCACAACATACCATCACTGTCACCACATACCATCACTGTCACATCACCTGTCTGGCATACCATCACTGTCACAGCATACCATCACTGTCACAACATACCATCACCTGTCACAACACACCATCACTGTCATCACATACCATCACCATCACTGTCACAGCATACCATCACTGTCACCACATACCATCACTGTCACTACATACCATCACTGTCACAACATACCATCACAACATACCATCACATCACAACATACCATCACTGTCACTACATACCATGTCAACATACCATCACTGTCACTGTCACAGCATACCATCACACCATCACTACATACCATCCCGTCACACCATCACTGTCATACATCACCATCACCATCACTGTCACAGCATACCATCACTGTCACATACCATCACTGTCATACATACCATCACCATCACTACATACCATCGCATCACCATCACCATCACTGTCACAGCATACCATCACTGTCACCACATACCATCACTGTCACAGCATACCATCACTGTCACTGACATACCATCACTGTCACTACATACCATCACTGTCACAGCATACCATCACTGTCACAACATACCATCACTGTCACAACATACCATCACTGTCACAACATACCATCACTGTCACTACATACCATCACTGTCACAACATACCATCACTGTCATACATACCATCACTGTCACAACATACCATCACTGTCACAACATACCATCATCACTGTCACATACCATCACCATCACTGTCACCACATACCATCACTGTCACCACATACCATCACCATCACATACCATCACTGTCACCACATACCATCACTGTCACCACATACCATCACTGTCACCATCACCATCGCTGTCACATACCATACACACACATACCATCACTGTCACAACATACCATCACTGTCACAACATACCATCACCATCACACATACCATACCATACCATCACTGTCTACATACCACACATACCAACATACCATGTCATCACATACCATCATCACATACCATCACACACAGCATACCATCACCACCACTGTCACCACATACCATCACTGTCACAGCATACCATCACTGTCACTACATACCATCACTGTCACAACATACCATCACTGTCACAACATACCATCACTGTCACTACATACCATCACTGTCACACCACATACCATCACTGTCACAACATACCATCACTGTCACAGCATACCATCACTGTCACAACATACCATCACCATCACTGCCACCGTACACCATCACCATCACAACATACCATCACTGTCACAACATACCATCACCGTCACATACCATCACATACCATACCATCACTGTCACCACATACCACATACCATCACATGTCACAGCATACCATCACCGTCACAACATACCATCACTGTCACAACATACCATCACTGTCACAACATACCATCACCTGTCGCATGCACTGGCCATACATACCATCACTGTCACCACATACCATCACTGTCACTACATACCATCACTGTCACAACATACCATCACTGTCACAGCATACCATCACCGTCACTGTCACAACATACCATCACTGTCACAACATACCATCACTGTCACAACATACCATCACTGTCACAACATACCATCACTGTCACAGCATACCATCACTGACACTACATACCACACTGTCACCACTGTCACATACCATCACCATACCATCACTGTCACAGCATACCATCACTGTCATACCATACCATCACTGTCACATACCATCATACCATCACCATCACAACATACCATCACCATCACATACCATCATACCATCATCTGTCACAGCATACCATCACTGTCACAGCATACCATCACTCACAGCATACCATCACTGTCACAGCATACCATCACTGTCACTACATACCATCACTGTCACAGCATACCATCACTGTCACAGCATACCATCACCATTACAACATACCATCACCATCACAACATACCATCACTGTCACAGCATACCATCACCATCACAACATACCATCACTGTCACAGCATACCATCACCGTCACAACATACCATCACTGTCACAGCATACCATCACCGTCACAACATACCATCACTGTCACAGCATACCATCACCGTCACAACATACCATCACTGTCACAGCATACCATCACATCACAACATACCATCACTGTCACAGCATACCATCACTGTCACAGCATACCATCACCATCACAACATACCATCACTGTCAACATACCATCATCACCATCACTGTCACAACATACCATCACTGTCACAACATACCATCACTGTCACAACCATCACCATCACAACATACCATCACCATCACAACATACCATCACTGTCACAGATAGAATACTTACACACTGACTGAAGACACAGCAGGAAGCCGAACAACTCCTTGTTGCCATGGGAACCAATGTACATACACAGAAGGCACACAGCGAAGTTGCCAGATAGGACGACGTAGAAGAGTTGAGGTGAACACTGTGCAGCAGATAGAAGCTGGACAGGTCAAGGTCAAATATGGATGTGATTGACCCCAGCCAGCAGATGACCAATGATATGAACAACGGGTCACATGTAAAACCTTGCTGAATTTTACATTGCAATTACTTTCATGCTCATAGCCTTTGTTATAACTTGAAATGAACAGTTAAGATTTCTTAACAAGTTTGAAAACATAGAGAATCTCAACAGAGCATTTCTCATATCTAGTATATCAATATTAGTCAATGCAAGTCTAAAACTCTGGGTAACATCTGGCAGACACTCGAGTAAACTTGACAACAGCCAATCAAATGCCAGCTCTCTAAGGTGATTCAATTCCATTACATGCATATTTATTGTCATGACAACTGGTGGTCAGTTGTCACTCTTACTTAGTTTGTAGAGAATCTATTTTCAAATGACTCTGGATGTCCAATAATAGCCAGTGTGTTGTGTGTACAAATCACAGCTAACCAAACTCATAATTTTGTGATGCCATTCGATTGCGACCTACTGATTATAGAAGGCATTGTCATGGTCAGCACAGCTTTGTGATGCAATTACATTGTACCTCCAAGAACATACAGTTTGATCTCACCCAAACAATATCTCATGTGGCAGACAGTTTTGGATCATAAACATTATTTCCAGTGAATCGGAATGAGAAGGATGAAGTTATGTATAAAGTTCCCGCCTCTGGGAGAAGGATACGTGAGATGCCATGGTAACACAGCCATCCAGAAGCCCAGCAGGGCAGCCAGACAGGCCAACAGCACCACAGCCGGGATCTGAAACAGACACAACACATCAGCTTCCACAGGGGAAAAGACTTTTTGTAAAAAGTCCTAATTAGACATATGCCAAAGGAATAGTGGAAAATCAGCGAAATATAGTAAAGAGCCTTACCTTCAATAATTCACACTCAATCTCTCACATATTCCCTCACTCAATCTTTCAATTTATCACTCACTCCATTCATTCCTCCCTCACTTCCTCCTTCTCTCATCCAGTCATCTACTCCTTTACTCTCTCAGTCAGCCAGTCTGTCCTTACACCCTCAATTTCTTATTTATTTAAGTCATTCCATCACTCATTTATCATTTATTTCCCCCTTTACCCTTTGAGTCTGTTACTCACTCACTGATTTTACACTCCTCTTTTCATTCTCTCACCCACTCACTCAGTCAATCATTCATTCACTCAGTCACTCATGCAATCACTCAATCACTCATTCAGTATACTCACCCAGTATTTCTTGATTCCCAGAAGGAAACCTAACACAGCGAATGTGACGATGGCGATGGGCAGCCATGGCAGGAAGTGGGACGAGAGTTGATACTGCTGCAGCACTGGGTAACACAGCACCGTGGCCAGCATCCCACACACCCACCGGCCCCGCGTCACGATGGTATACGGGTAACCTGAAGCAAGAAATCTTTCTTAAAGCTGCAGTGGTTACATTTTTCAGGAAACTAGTCCATATTTATATCAAACTTTGTACACCCTTCTGCATTGCAACCAATCAATATCTGACATCGCGACTATCTCAGTAGGTCACATGATGTCCCTATCGCTTAATTGTGTGACAACCAAACAGTATCTGGCATCACAACTCTCTCAGTAGGTCACATGATGTCCCTATCGCCTAACTGTGTGACAACCAACCAGTATCTGGCATCACGACTATCTCAGTAGGTCACATGATGTCCCTATCGCCTAACTGTGTGACAACCAACCAGTATCTGGCATCACAACTATCTTGATAGGTCACATGATGTCCCTATCGCCTAACTGTGTGACAACCAACCAGTATCTGGCATCACAACTATCTTCATAGGTCACATGATGTCCCTATCGCCTAACTGTGTGACAACCAACCAGTATCTGGCATCACGACTATCTTCACAGGTCACATGATGTCCCTATCGCCTAACTGTGTGACAACCAACCAGTATCTGGCATCACGACTATCTTGATTGGTCACATGATGTCCCTATCGCCTAACTGTGTGACAACCAACCGGTAACCAGTATCAGTAGGTCACATGTCGACTATCTTGATTGGTCATGATGTCCCTATCAATGTCCTATCGCTAACTGTGTGACAACCAACCAGTATCTGGCATCACGACTATCTTCACAGGTCACATGATGTCCCTATCGCCTAACTGTGTGACAACCAACCAGTATCTGGCATCACGACTATCTTGATTGGTCACATGATGTCCCTATCGCCTAACTGTGTGACAACCAACCAGTATCTGGCATCACAACTATCTTGATTGGTCACATGATGTCCCTATCGCCTAACTGTGTGACAACCAACCAGTATCTGCCATTACGACTATCTTCATAGGTCACATGATGTCCCTATCACGCCTAATTGTGTGACAACCAACCAGTATCTGCCATCACGACTATCTTCATAGGTCACATGATGTCCCTATTGACAACCAACCAGTATCCTACTATCTTGATTGTGTGATTGTGTGACAACCAACCAGTATCTGGCATCACAACTATCTTGATTGGTCACATGATGTCCCTATCGCCTAATTGTGTGACAACCAACCAGTATCTGGCATTACGACTATCTTCATAGGTCACATGATGTCCCTATCACCTAACTGTGTGACAACCAACCAGTATCTGGCATCACGACTATCTTAGGTCACATGATGTCCCTATCACCTAACTGTGTGACAACCAACCAGTATCTGGCATCGACTATCAACTATCTTGATAGGTCACATGACTAACTGTGTGACAACCAACCAGTATCTGGCATCACGACTATCTTCACAGGTCACATGATGTCCCTATCGCCTAACTGTGTGACAACCAACCAGTATCTGGCATCACGACTATCTTGATAGGTCACATGATGTCCCTATCGCCTAACTGTGTGACAACCAACCAGTATCTGGCATCACGACTATCTTGATAGGTCACATGATGTCCCTATCAGCCTAACTGTGTGACAACCAACCAGTATCTGGCATCACAACTATCTTGATTGGTCACATGATGTCCCTATCGCCTAACTGTGTGACAACCAACCAGTATCTGGCATCACGACTATCTTGATAGGTCACATGATGTCCCTATCGCCTAACTGTGTGACAACCAACCAGTATCTGGCATCACAACTATCTTGATTGGTCACATGATGTCCCTATCGCCTAATTGTGTGACAACCAACCAGTATCTGGCATCACAACTATCTTCATAGGTCACATGATGTCCCTATCGCCTAACTGTGTGACAACCAACCAGTATCTGGCATCACGACTATCTTGATAGGTCACATGATGTCCCTATCGCCTAACTGTGTGACAACCAACCAGTATCTGGCAGCATCCCAACTATCTTGATAGGTCACATGATGTCCCTATCGCCTAACTGTGTGACAACCAACCAGTATCTGGCATCACAACTATCTTGATTGGTCACATGATGCAGAATAGCAGACAACATGAACATTGACAATCAACATGAACACGCCAGATGCAGGCAGAGCATTGCTTTACTTTGAATTTCCAACATGAGTTAGCAAAAGCAAATCTGTGTACACCAAAACATGATCTGACCGATAATCGAAGTCGGTATAAATACACTCCAGAATGACAATCCTGCATCACTAGCCAAGTCGGCTGTCAATTTGTTAAACGCTGCACTCAGTAATATTCCAGCTGTGATAGTGGCCTGTATATAATGAAGTCTGGACCAGACAATCCAGTGATCAATACTGTCAGCAATGATCCATACCATCTAGGTGCCAAGTCCACAGTCAACTAAATCCCCAAATCAGATCTATCTGATCACTTCATACAATGAGTATATATTGACCTGTTGACCAGGGTACCGATGCCGACCTGGAATCACCCCAGGATCATGTGTATGGACGTCAATAGATGTCACAGTACAAGAAAAGCTCCTATAGTTATAACTGTCACTGAATTGTGAGAAACAAGAAATTGTATTAAACAATTCCTATTACTCGAGAAACAACCTGGAAGCTATTAATAAATACTATTTCCAAATTTGAGAAAACAGGTAGCAGGTATTTTAGGACAGGTGTGTTAACTCTTACCTGCGTACTCAAACAGCTGCCGGACACTCAGTAGGGTGGCCAGGAACAGACTCAGGGACACCACCAGCCCTAGCTCCAGCTGCCAGCAACAGAATACAGAAAATGAAATGCAGTCCTTGGAGAGATTACCTTTGATAACTACTGGAGAAGACTAGTGGAAACTAGAGTTGGAGCTAGTCCTGCTTGGACAAGACAAAAACAATTTACTGTGCTTCTATTTTCTTTTAGTTTTATTCAGTTTCAGTTTTTAGTGAAATTTAAACAGTGAGAACAGAATTACTGCTGTCAAGTGCTACAAATCTATGAGGACTACCATCATTAGAGATTTACTTGCCCAGAGCACAACTTAGTAGTCTCAGGCTAGTAGACAAGCGTGAATTTTGAATGCGGAGTTCTTAGATAACTAAGAATTAGTCACTAAAATTAGTTACTCAGGTACTTCACCCTTGGTATGTTCACCTTGAAGTGACATGATAAAGAGATACATTTTTACTTACTCAGAATACCAATCGTTCAAATTTCTTGTAAGTTAAACAAATAATTCTGTGGTTTGTTATTATTGGTAGGTACCTTGTGCCAGCTTTATAGAGGTATGACTTACCTTGCATCTGGAGGAAGATTCTAAAGACCTCTGGTTCAAGATACTATCGGTGGATGATGAGTTATACTGAAACTGACTCACCAAAGACCTCTGGCTCAAGATACTATCGGTGGATGATGAGTTATAGTGAAACTGACTCACCAAAGACCTCTGGCTCAAGATACTATCGGTGGATGATGAGTTATAGTGAAACTCACTCACCAAAGACCTCTGGCTCAAGATACTATCGGTGGATGATGAGTTATAGTGAAACTGACTCACCAAAGACCTCTGGCTCAAGATACTATCGGTGGATGATGAGTTATACTGAAACTGACTCACCAAAGACCTCTGGCTCAAGATACTATCGATGAATGATGACTTATACTGAAACTGACTCACCAAAGACCTCTGGCTCAAGATACTATCGGTGAATGATGAGTTATACTGAAACTGACTCACCAAAGACCTCTGGCTCAAGATACTATCGGTGGATGATGAGTTATACTGAAACTGACTCACCAAAGACCTCTGGCTCAAGATACTATCGGTGGATGATGAGTTATACTGAAACTGACTCACCAAAGACCTCTGGCTCAAGATACTATCGATGAATGATGACTTATACTGAAACTGACTCACCAAAGACCTCTGGCTCAAGATACTATCGGTGAATGATGAGTTATACTGAAACTGACTCACCAAAGACCTCTGGCTCAAGATGCTGTCGGTGGATGATGAAGTTATACAGAGGATGACATGAAGCATGGAGGGCAGAAAGCAAAAAGACAGGGCCATGACCAACACAATGGGCTGCTGGAGGACGTTGAGGTCCTCCTCCGCTGTCGCCTTCAGTCGGAAGGAAGACACAGCTGGTGTCGCCTTCAGTGACAAAGAAACCATGATGAAGGAAGACACAGCTGGATGATTGTCAGGAACACTTGGTTTGATGAACACAAACCTGAATGACAACAGAAACCATGATGATGATTGTTTGATGAACAACATATAACCATGATGATGATTGTTTGATGAACAACATATAACCATGATGATGATTGTTTGATGAACAACCTATAACCATGATGATGATTGTTTGATGAACAACATATCATACAGTTCTATAGAATACATGAATATGTGAGCAAACAACACCATGTCTGAAAGCTAAATAGGGTCACTGAAACCTTAGGATGCCACATACAGTTTCTGTCATAAAAACGTATGTTTCATCAGATATGAAAAATTAACATGATCTTGTATGGATAGAGACATATTCTGTTACACCAAGGATGAGACATGGAGACATATTCTGTTACACCAAGGATGAGACATGGAGATTCTGCCAAGGATGAGACATGGAGACATATTCTGTTACACCAAGGATGAGACATGGAGACATATTCTGTTACACCAAGGATGAGACATGGAGACATATTCTGTTACACCAAGGATGAGACATGGAGACATGGAGTAAACCTAAGACATCACACTCTCGTTCACCATGACAGACAGGTAAAATGGGTGTACAAGAAAGTTGAAGGAAATCCCCAACTTACGAGGTTGCCATGACGATGAGTGGAGCCATGGAGGTGGGTGTGATGGTGGTGAGGGTCCACGTGACAAGGACACTGCATACAGCTGGGTATGCAGAGAACAACAGCTGCTCTATCATCTGCAACATGGGAGGACATCGCTTACACAAACATCCTACTTTCAGTGGGAGATGCATGATCCGGGGAGAGATGGACCAGACACTGACCCCAATTATAAACCTTCTGCCACATTTTCCCATTGTATTGCAGGTATCCCACTCTAGGGTATATTATTACTTCATGATGTTGGATGCTGTAGAAGCATGTGGTAATGTCTACAGCAGTGACACGCCTACTACCAGTAGTTACATGACCTGGATGCTGTAGAAGCATGTGGTAATGTCTACAGCAGTGACACGTCTACTACCAGTAGTTACATGACCTGGATGCTGTAGAAGCATGTGGTAATGTCTACAGCAGTGACACGCCTACTACCAGTAGTTACATGACCTGGATGCTGTAGAAGCATGTGGTAATGTCTACAGCAGTGACATGCCTACTACCAGTAGTTACATGACCTGGATGCTGTAGAAGCATGTGGTAATGTCTACAGCAGTGACACGCCTGCTACCAGTAGTTACATGACCTCGGATGCTGTAGAAGCATGTGGTAATGTCTACAGCAGTGACACTGCCTACTACCAGTAGTTACATGACCTGGATGCTGTAGAAGCATGTGGTAATGTCTACAGCAGTGACACGCCTGCTACCAGTAGTTACATGACCTGGATGCTGTAGAAGCATGTGGTAATGTCTACAGCAGTGACACGCCTACTACCAGTAGTTACATGACCTGGATGCTGTAGAAGCATGTGGTAATGTCTACAGCAGTGACACGCCTGCTACCAGTAGTTACATGACTGAACGATGTCAACAGCGTATGTAGATCACTCCAGATATCATCAGTAAATGATCGAGCCGCCATTAAGGGTTCTCATTATTTGCTCCTGACCCATAGGACATATTCTAACCTTGTGAGAGGTACTAAGTTCAAGTGCAACCTGCCAAGACATTTTACATTAGAATAGTAAAACCCAGTTTTTGCAGTTAAATTGTATATACAGACTTTTCAGTAGGCATTTAATGAGGATTTTTGATTGGTTAAAAGACAAAATATTTCCCAATGAAAATTCCAAGGCATGAAATTGAGCCTACAACCTCACATATCATGGTCCGTAACAGTGTTTATTCCAGCCTTTCCCAAAAAGTGGGTTCATGGCCAACCAGCCCTCAGTTACGCTTACATTGGCTGCCCACGAAACAGAGAATAGAATATAAAATCCTCACTCTCGCTTTCAAGTGCCTCCATGACAAAGCTCCAATCTATCTGAAAGATCTCCTCAGTGAATATGTCCCACCACGGCTTTTAAGATCAAGTTCTAATTGTCAGTTGAATGTCCCCAAGGTCAGATTAAAGTCATATGGACATAGACAGTTCTCTTACACAGCTCCCCTTTTCTGGAACTCACTGCCTCTTCACATCCGACAAGCCGCGACCGTGGAATCTTTCCAGTCCCAACTGAAAACTTTCCTTTTTAAACAAGCTTATGAACTTTAATCCTTTCTTCAGATCACTCTATCTTTTAGCGCCTAGAGAAATTGCCTTGCAGTTTGATTTGTGCGCTATACAAGAACACTTATTATTATTATTATTATATTATGGGTCATGTCAAATTGCTGTGACTTGTCAGCCATACAGTTGTAATTACTAGCATGAGTTCACTAACTTTTTTATAACTTTCAATCAAGTCAGGCGCATTGTTGTTGTTGTTTTTTCCAAGACCTACTAACTTTGGAGTTTTGCTTGCTTGCGTTTCAGATTTACACCTGATGCACCAACGCGACCTGCCCATACCTGGACATTGTGCCAGTTAAATGTAAGAGCACAAATGATGCAAAGGCACGGCCTAGAATGAACACTGTTGTAACCCACTGTTTTCCTTCTGAGCCACCAAAGCAGCTGATGAAAGGCTGTTTAATGTAACATGTCTGCATGCTGCATGTGGTCTCCCGCCTTCTGTCATCAAATCCATTTTAGATCAGAACTACTATGACATATCCAACTGTATTACCATTCTCTTTATTATTTCTTGTATTTAGACAGTTCATAAGTTAGTTGAAACAATCCTCTAAGTGTCCAGTTGAAAATAATTTTAAGTCGCTGCCAGGTTTTACAATTTCAACAGAAATTACCAAGTAGTGTTCAGCTATTACCTAAAACTGACCCTCTTTTGTTCAATATGGGACACAGTACCTCACATTCTCCAACTTTGCCCATTATTTTCACAGTTCAATCCAAACTTGTTTACGAGTGTTTGCAAGGATACCGTTTCCCTACCTGTGCTAGAACTGGTTCTTCAGTCCGGAAGGCAGGAAACAGAAGAATGATCCAGCCTCCCGTCAGTATGACATAAGCATTGATAGCACCAATCAGGAACACGTTCCACAGGGATAACCTGAAAACACATCAACAGGTCCATCCCTGTACATATATCCCTTTAATGTGAAAACACATCAACAGGTCCATCCCTGTACATATATCCCTTTAATGTGAAAACACATCAACAGGTCCATCCCTGTACATATATCCCTTTAATGTGAAAACACATCAACAGGTCCATCCCTGTACATATATCCCTTTAATGTGTGACATAACACATCAACAGGTCCATCCCTGTACATATATCCCTTTAATGTGAAAACACATCAACAGGTCCATCCCTGTACATATATCCACTTTTAATGTGAAAACACATCAACAGGTCCATCCCTGTACATATATCCCTTTAATGTGAAAACACATCAACAGGTCCATCCCTGTACATATATCCCTTTAATGTGAAAACACATCAACAGGTCCATCCCTGTACATATATCCCTTTAATGTGAAAACACATCAGCAATCCCTGTACATATACATCAACATGTGAAAACACATCAACAGGTCCATCCCTGTACATATATCCCTTTAATGTGAAAACACATCAGCCTTTTGATGGAAAGTTTGAAATACGACTAGCTTTATGAATAACAATTAAATTGTAGCTGGAAGACAGAGAATGACCGTCATCTTTGTCAGTAACATTACAACAGTGTCAGCAACTTGAATGCGATACAAGAACCTGTATCGAAACGTCGTGCTCTGAAATAAAAAGAGTTGTCATCCATATATACTTGTTCTATCTGACTTCCAACTTCTAAAATGCCACTGAAAGAAGTGTCAGCAAGGTGGGTTCAGATCTGGAGTAGGAGAACCATTGGTCAGTGGGGTCAGACATGACAGATTCATACCACCCGGGTATTATATATAAGACAGCATAGCAGCTAGGCCACAGAGGAAGAGTATCTGTTTATCATGGGGAGTTCATGCCATCTATCAATGCTCCACACAACTGACGATACAATGTGACATTCCTATCCATATATCCATTCATGATTTAAGTATGTATTAACTTACAAAATGTTATACATACTTCAGTTTGCAATAACCCGAAAAATCACTTGTGCTGACAATACCTTACTGTTATATCACAAGGCTACAATGATAAAATATCCAAGTTCAACTCAAAGTGGTTGATAGCAACTTGCCTTTAGTTCAGCCACATTCTATGTACAAGTTCACTTGAGTATCTCAACATGTATCATCATGATTCAAGTGACATACCTAATTGAACATACCCATACTCACCATATCAGTGGAGTGAGTGAGTGAGTGAATTTACTGTTATGCCGCACTCAGCAATATTTCAGCTAAATGGCAGCGGTCTGTAAATAATCGAGTCTGGACCAGACAAACCAGTGCTCAACATCAAGAGCATCGATCTGCACAATTGGGAACTGATGACATGTGTCAACCAAGTCAGCAAGCCTGACCACCCGATCCCGTTAGTGGCCTCTTACAGCCATGGGTTACTGAAGATCAATCCTAACCCGTATCAGTGGAAGAACAGACACCAGGATGTGACATACCTAATTGAACATAGCAATACTCACCATATCAGTGGAAGAACAGACACCAGGATGGACATACCTAATTGAACATAGCAACAGACACCATATCAGTGGAAGTGACATCAGGATACCTAATTGAACATAGCAATAAACTCACCATATCAGTGGAAGAACAGACACATGTGACACCTAATTGAACATGCAATAAACTCACATATCAGTGGAAGAACAGACAATGTGATACCTAATTGAACATAGCAATAAACTCACCATATCAGTGGAAGAACAGACACCAGGATGTGACATACCTAATTGAACATAGCAATAAACTCACCATATCAGTGGAAGAACAGACACCAGGGTGTGACATACCTAATTGAACATAGCAATAAACTCACCATATCAGTGGAAGAACAGACACCAGGATGTGACATACCTAATTGAACATAGCAATAAACTCACCATATCAGTGGAAGAACAGACATCAGGATGTGACATACCTAATTGAACATAGCAATAAACTCACCATATCAGTGGAAGAACAGACACCAGGATGTGACATACCTAATTGAACATAGCAATAAACTCACCATATCAGTGGAAGAACAGACACCAGGATGTGACATACCTAATTGAACATAGCAATAAACTCACCATATCAGTGGAAGAACAGACACCAGGATGTGACATACCTAATTGAACATAGCAATAAACTCACCATATCAGTGGAAGAACAGACACCAGGATGTGACATACCTAATTGAACATAGCAATAAACTCACCATATCAGTGGAAGAACAGACACCAGGATGTGACATACCTAATTGAACATAGCAATAAACTCACCATATCAGTGGAAGAACAGACACCAGGATGTGACATACCTAATTGAACATAGCAATAAACTCACCATATCAGTGGAAGAACAGACACCAGGATGTGACATACCTAATTGAACATAGCAATAAACTCACCATATCAGTGGAAGAACAGACACCAGGATGTGACATACCTAATTGAACATAGCAATAAACTCACCATATCAGTGGAAGAACAGACATCAGGATGTGACATACCTAATTGAACATAGCAATAAACTCACCATATCAGTGGAAGAACAGACATCAGGATGTGACATACCTAATTGAACATAGCAATAAACTCACCATATCAGTGGAAGAACAGACACCAGGATGTGACATACCTAATTGAACATAGCAATAAACTCACCATATCAGTGGAAGAACAGACATCAGGATGTGACATACCTAATTGAACATAGCAATAAACTCACCATATCAGTGGAAGAACAGACACCAGGGTGTGACATACCTAATTGAACATAGCAATAAACTCACCATATCAGTGGAAGAACAGACATCAGGATGTGACATACCTAATTGAACATAGCAATAAACTCACCATATCAGTGGAAGAACAGACATCAGGGTGTGACATACCTAATTGAACATAGCAATAAACTCACCATATCAGTGGAAGAACAGACATCAGGATGTGACATACCTAATTGAACATAGCAATAAACTCACCATATCAGTGGAAGAACAGACACCAGGGTGTGACATACCTAATTGAACATAGCAATAAACTCACCATATCAGTGGAAGAACAGACATCAGGATGTGACATACCTAATTGAACATAGCAATAAACTCACCATATCAGTGGAAGAACAGACACCAGGGTGTGACATACCTAATTGAACATAGCAATAAACTCACCATATCAGTGGAAGAACAGACATCAGGATGTGACATACCTAATTGAACATAGCAATAAACTCACCATATCAGTGGAAGAACAGACACCAGGGTGTGACATACCTAATTGAACATAGCAATAAACTCACCATATCAGTGGAAGAACAGACATCAGGATGTGACATACCTAATTGAACATAGCATTAAACTCACCATATCAGTGGAAGAACAGACACCAGCATGTGACATACCTAATTGAACATAGCAATAAACTCACCATATCAGTGGAAGAACAGACACCAGCATGTGACATACCTAATTGAACATAGCAATAAACTCACCATATCAGTGGAAGAACAGACACCAGGATGTGACATACCCTAACTGAACATAGCAATACTCACCATATCAGTGGAAGAACAGACACCAGGGTGTGACATACCTAATTGAACATAGCAATAAACTCACCATATCAGTGGAAGAACAGACACCAGGATGTGACATACCTTAATTGAACATAGCAATAAACTCACCATATCAGTGGAAGAACAGACACCAGGATGTGACATACCTAATTGAACATAGCAATAAACTCACCATATCAGTGGAAGAACAGACACCAGGATGTGACATACCTAATTGAACATAGCAATACTCACCATATCAGTGGAAGAACAGACACCAGGATGTGACATACCTAATTGAACATAGCAATAAACTCACCATATCAGTGGAAGAACAGACACCAGGATGTGACATACCTAATTAAACATAGCAATAAACTCACCATATCAGAGGAAGAACAGACACCAGGATGTGACATACCTAATTAAACATAGCAATAAACTCACCATATCAGTGGAAGAACAGACACCAGGATGTGACATACCTAATTGAACATAGCAATACTCACCATATCAGTGGAAGAACAGACATCAGGATGTGACATACCTAATTGAACATAGCAATAAACTCACCATATCAGTGGAAGAACAGACACCAGGATGTGACATACCTAATTGAACATAGCAATACTCACCATATCAGTGGAAGAACAGACACCAGGATGTGACATACCTAATTGAACATAGTAATACTCACCATATCAGTGGAAGAACAGACATCAGGATGTGACATACCTAATTGAACATAGCAATAAACTCACCATATCAGTGGAAGAACAGACACCAGCATGTGACATACCTAATTGAACATAGCAATACTCACCATATCAGTGGAAGAACAGACACCAGGATGTGACATACCTAATTGAACATAGCAATAAACTCACCATATCAGTGGAAGAACAGACACCAGCATGTGACATACCTAATTGAACATAGCAATAAACTCACCATATCAGTGGAAGAACAGACACCAGGATGTGACATACCTAATTGAACATAGCAATAAACTCACCATATCAGTGGAAGAACAGACACCAGCATGTGACATACCTAATTGAACATAGCAATAAACTCACCATATCAGTGGAAGAACAGACACCAGGATGTGACATACCTAATTGAACATAGCAATACTCACCATATCAGTGGAAGAACAGACATCAGGATGTGACATACCTAATTGAACATAGCAATAAACTCACCATATCAGTGGAAGAACAGACACCAGGATGTGACATACCTAATTGAACATAGCAATAAACTCACCATATCAGTGGAAGAACAGACACCAGGATGTGACATACCTAATTGAACATAGCAATAAACTCACCATATCAGTGGAAGAACAGACATCAGGATGTGACATACCTAATTGAA